AAACCAAGGTCAGGTTCTTCTGGATACTCTCAAAACCCTTCCCGTTCGCTTTCTCATCGGTACCTGTCCAGAATGCTTGTTTGGCTTGCTCTGTTGACAGGTATAGCTTCATACCTAGTTTGTTTAGAAGGGAATTCGCCACGTCGAATGTAGCCTGATCCGCCTGCTCGAACATGGCGAGTTGGTCCAAGAAGTATTGGGGATCCTCGTGGGCCGCATCCTCCTCTTGAGCATTTAGGTCAGCCATCGATTCTCTTGCTCGTAACCTTTTGCTCTTTGCTCGCCCTTCGGTTTCATCGTTCCCAGCCACCGTCGTTGACCGTTTGCGTGATGTTGCTCCAGAAAAAGGTCGCGCTTCGATGATCTCGATTGTGTCTCCGTCCGGCAAGCCGTTCATCGGTTCGTTCTCTCGCAGTCGCGTCTCGCCCGAATCAGCAGTCACAGGATCCTGCGGTGATTCCTTCTCGGGGGGTGGCTCGAGCTGGGTTCCTATCTCCCTCGAATGTTGTTCAGGACTCTGCGATATGTCCACTAGACCTGAACCGGCGACGACGCCTTCCTTCCCCACGACCTCTGATGCCGTTGCCATGTCGACTTCGTGATCTGTCATGTTCAAGTATATTTTAACGGTAGCGGCGCTACTAGGACCAACGGCATCTTGAATATTTTTCATGGTTTCGGAAATCATCTTCCCCAGAGAGTAAAGATCGGTTGAGACCGGTTGTAAAGTGAGTTGAGCCACCGCAAAGCTTAGGGGACGATACCTATCATCCAGATATTCAAGAGTCGATGCGTGCTTCGGTAGGAATGGGTATGGGTCATTTGATTTCTTCAACACACTCAAAAGCTTATCCTTGGGTCTTGCGTCCGAACTTTGAAGGCGGCTCATATCATCCTGTACCAGGTTGACCATCTCCTCGAGCTCGCCAGCTGCAAAGGCTTCGTCCAGGCCCGATAAGTCGATTGTTTGTTCGCCATCCTCATCTTCACCAGCGAGGACACTCTCCAAGCAGAATCGTGCGATGCGCTGGGTAGACAGAACGTCTGCCACACGTGCAGCTTTCTTCCACGAGTCAAGATCAGTGTCATCACGCTCAAGAGCTTGCGCGAATTGCCTGAGGCTTTCCTTGCTGGACGTTGCGTAGTAGTGACAAAGCTCGGAGCGAGTCCCTCTGCGATCTGGCACCTGGTGGCGTGCAACGTCCAGGAGAAATTGGCCTCTGTTCTTGAAGGCGAGGTAAAGAAGCTGAGGAATGGAACTTGCGGAGGATTCAGCAGCACTGTTCGGAAGCAGAGATAGTGCGCCAGAGTCTGTCTGCGCGGTAATGACTATCGTATCATCGTCGATTTCGTCGTGCTGAAAGTCCGAAACAACATCGGGATATTTGAAGACTTCGGAATTCAGAAGTTCGTCGTAAGCATCCTCAGCTTCTTGGAAATAGTCGGGACCCTGAGAATGAAGTTTCAGTGCATTTTGATAGAGTTTGAAGGCTTCCTCGAGCTGGATCTCTCGCGTGTCATCGACTTCCTCTTGAAAGGTGTCTTCAGGTTCGACATTTAGGGCCGTGAAGGCGGACATGGTGAGTCTAGAATCGCAAGTCGTCTACTTGAGCCAGCACTGGTCGGGGACGATTCATATGGTGTTGGGGGAGGGACATTGTCGATCCAACACATACATTACCGTCGTCCTCGACAAAGAAGGCGTGGCAATCGAGGCGGATATCTTCTAACCCTAAATGAAATCGATGGTGTTTCCATGAAGATAGGAGGAAGTAAAGATGTCAAGTGAATGATCGCTAACATGGCATCATGTCGTTCAACGTTCAACGCGTGCAAATGTCCAAGTGAAACGCGAGGCGAGAGTTGCGCATCCCATTTAGGAAAGCTTGCCGAAAATGCACTCAATTGTTCCTTCAACAATCTCTGGGAGGATGGATTGAGACACGTAGCATCCAAGTCTCGTGCAGTATAAGATCTTGAAGGCTCTCTCAACTACCCGTACTTCTCAGGTTCACTATCGCCGCTTACCCCGCTAGGATCGTCAACGATTCGAGTTTACGGACTACCTCGACACGCCCCCTTTTATCAGTCTGTTCTCGACATATTTGTCCAACTCCGCCCATTAAGGGTGCGCGGCCATGGTTGCGCCAGCAGTGCCAGAGTGAGTCGCATTACAGATTCTACGTCTCTAATCACGCGCTAACGGGTTTCTCACAGGATCATTGAAGATGATGAGATCGGCCTCGCTGTCGACGCACGCACAGAAAGTCTACCGGGACTTCGCGAATTGGGACCTCCGGATCTTGTTCACCTGGTCAAGCAGAGCGTCAAAGCTGGCAACAAACAAACTGGAGTTTACCACCATGTGACCGGTGTTGATGCTTCATCCTCTGCGAGCTTGGCTGCATATGTCAACACCCTGACTTTCAATCCTGTTGACAAAACACACAAGGTGGTGTCGGGTCTATACTGCTGTTACAATGCTTTTTCGCATCTAGACATGAGGGTGGAAGTCAAAATTCCAGGCAGTGTGGAGAGTTATTGTGTAGATGAAAGGGGTGACAGAAGAGTTGCAACTGAGAATTTATGGCTGGAGACATTTCTCTGCGCAGTGCTGCGTGCATATTCATACTCGGACAATGGCAGCGGTGACACGATAAAAAAGATTATTGGTGTCCGAAGGTTCAATCCGATTATCAACACCGAGCTGGAGCACCGTTTCTTCGAGGCCGCCGAGCGATTATTCTTCAGCGGCCGTCAACTGGGGTCAGACCCCGAAATTCAAATCCCTAACGTGGTCTCCAACCATCTCACTGCGGGACTGTTGAAATACATTCGAACGACAGGACGGTTCGCATCAGGTATCAACTTGTTCGAGAAGCTACGAACAAAGGACGTGGAGGTCTCGTCTTTGCTGGCGCGGGTGTTACTGGATGGAGATGAAGAGATCCAAGCCGTGCGGCTCCTGCATGATTCCTTACAGGATGTGCCGATGGATTATGCGCTTCTTGACTGTCAAGCTGCGTTCTGCCAGAGCAAAGGTGAGGGCGAAATGGCTCTGGAACTGGCCAAGCAGGGAGTCACAGCGGCTCCCAGTGAATTCAGCACCTGGGCTCGATTGGCCGAGGTCTATGTTGACCTAGAGCAGTGGGATCTGGCCTTGCTTACCCTGAACTCGTGTCCCATGTTTTCATACCAGGACAAGGACTCGCCCAGAATGCCTGAACCAAGTCGTGTGCTTCTCCCGATCCTACCTGAGAGTGCACTAGACGAAATTGATGAGGGACAGCCCAGACATGGAGAGCCGTACGATCAAGTCCATGTTTCATTGCGAAAACTACAGGCGGCCACGTATCAAGGGACATTTTTGAAGGCGTACAGCTTGCTGACACGGATCGCGGCCGCCATCGGATGGGACACACTCCTCAGGACGCGAAGTCAGGTTTTTGTGATGGAAGAGGAGTACCGAACGGAGAAGCAGCACCAGGTGACTCCAAAGATACCCACCAGCAAGAATGCTAGCACAATCGCCCTATCCGGCACTCCGAACGGCCACTCGAAAGCGAATGAAAATGGCGCAGACGAAGACGACGAGTCAGAAGATGGCTCTGCTGTGGAAGAGCCGAAGAAAGCTGATGATGAGAAGATTCTTGATGGATCCTCCTCCACTGCACCCACACTAAATGGTGGTGTCGATGAGACCGAGAATGCAGAGATCAAAGCGCACCGATCAATGGAGAAACCAGTGCCCACGATTGCAGCTGAGGAAGTCAAGTCGGGTAGTGACGAGCCAGATACATCCCATGGACACTATCCCCAATTCCAGAACAAACGCCTGTGCGAGCGGTGGCTCGACAATCTCTTCATGGTGCTGTACGAAGACCTCCGGATATATACAATCTGGCGGACCGAAATGGGTCAGTACCGGCAACAACAAATGCAGTACAAGAAATCCGCCGCGGAGTGGGAGATCCTGGGAGATCTTGCCGAGCGGCTCCATCACACAAACGAAGCTTTGGAAGCATATCAGCAATGTCTGAACATTAGGTTCTCGCCCAAAGCCATGAAGGGTATACTGCGCATGTACGAGAAGAAAGGGGACACGAGAAATGTCCTGGCATGCTTGATTCGACTAATCACCTGGCAATACCGGTGGTACTCGGAGGTAAGGACTCTCTCTACATCGAACTCTTCAAACGCTCTGCTGACTAATGTGACAGTTTTCGCCCGAACTCTTCTACTCGATACGGAAGCTCATTGAAGAAGAAGGGGCCGTCAAGATCCGCTCCATCGTACAAAGCACCAATCTTCCACAGCATGTACTAGATTTGACTCACGAATACTGTCGCCTGTGTGTCACTTTTAGAAGCAGCGGCACCGATGGATGATGAATGATGGGTTATGGAACTCTTTGTGTCAGGTAATTGTCTTTGTACAAGAGGAGGGATCGCATGTTCTGTTGCGTTCATTGCTCCTGAGCGACTTCCCAGCGGGCGGCGTCTTGACAGAATCAGACAGAGAGAGTGTTAGGTAGAATAAGAAGGCCACACGCTCAAACTGGGCTGCTTGTGTGAATACAGCCCATAAAAGAAAATACATGGCGGCCGCCTTTGGCGGTGCCTTGTAATCGTCCATCCACTCCTGTCACGGCCTTGATGCTTTTGCGTATATGCACGTAATGCGTGTCCGGAGAGATTGACTACGGTCGATCATTTGGCATTCGACTTATCGTCAACCAAGTTCAATCACTATTATTCTCTGACTTGGACTTCAGATAGACCATCAACATCCTTCCATCAACCACTTCAGACTGCTCCTCCAAGCACTTTTTCCGTCGATTATCAGTTCGTTCATCATCCCAAGAGCGATCAAATTGTACCCTCCAAAGCATTCCGTCGCCGAACTCCCGTTCCAGTGGCCTTGAGGCGGAACGGCGGGGCTAGGCAGTGAGGAGGCTCTGAAGACCGACCCACACGTTTCCATCCAAGTCTGCATCCACCATGACCAGCCAGAAGCGTATCACCAAGGTAAGAACAACAGCGGGAGAGAAGGCTGTCGATATCGCATCGAGCTCAACTGACCCATGCGCGCCAGGAACTTGGTGAACTCACCACTTCTCCCCCTGCCGGAATCACGGTCGCTCTGGCCGATGAGGCGAATCTCTTCGAGTGGAAAGTCACCATGGAGGGACCAGCTGGATCGCCGTATGCTGTAAGCTTGCCCCAGAGTCTATTCCTTGGAGCCAGGTAGTCTGGGCTGGCGCAGTGACCTGGGTGATCCTGCTCAGACCAGCGCCGTCTTTGCATCGCCCTCAGACGTGGCAGCATGGACACGAAAGGAGCAAACAAACACGGTAGGAAACACTGGCTGACATGTCTTGACACACTCTTTTCTCGCCATCTCCAGGGCCACCTCTTCAACCTCTCCTTGACCCTCCCACCAAACTACCCTTTCAAGCCGCCAACCGTGACTTTCACCACCAAGATCTACCACCCAAACATCTCCAATGACTCTCCACCAAACTCCGGCACCATGTGCTTGGGCATGTTGAGAGAGTCGGAATGGAAGCCGAGCACCAAAGTCGCCGCGGTCCTGGAATTCGCTCGTCAATTGTTGAAAGGTACGTGGATAGTGAACCCCCTAGCCTTGCGACGCAGTCTGAGTTGTGTCGGGCCTCTATCCCCCTCTTTGAGAATCTTTGCGGCCAAGGCTCGCCCGCTCACCCATGACCGAACTGCCATACCTGAATCTGCGTAAGCTGCCTTGGCTTGAGTCAGTCGGGTTGAGGTATACAGCCTGGGCTGTATCGTGGAGGGTGCTTTGTCAGAAATGTGTTCTCTGCCTCTATTCACCTTGATCAGCACAACTAACAACATGTCATTTTTGATCCGCTTTAGAACCAAACCCCGACGACGCCGTCGAAGGCAAGATCGCAGACCAGTATCGCAACGACTACGGCGCGTACGAGAAGGAAGCCCGTGAGTGGGTCAAGCGCTATGCGACGGTCAAGAAATGAAATCCTATCATGAAGAAGTCTGCGATCTTGTCGTGTCTGCCTGCCTGCCAGCTCAACACCCATTCTCATTTCCGTTTGGAACTAGAGTAGGATATGTTTCTTTTTGTTGGCACTGGCAAAATGAAGAAGAAAAAAAGAGAGAAAAAAAGATTGCGACTCCTATTCGACATGCGTTGTGGAATGTGGGCAAATCATTCATATGGCTTTTATGGGGCGGAGCGCATCGATAGCGGACAACACAACACAAGATATGACATGACATGACATGACATGACGGACGGACATGAGATCATGCACATATGGCGATGGATGGCGAGAAATGGAAGACTGCGACGCAAGGGCGGAAAAGGCAAAAAAGCAGTGACCCAGTAGGTGGGCTAGCGAGGAGGTATGCAAGGAGATGGATATGAGCATGGACCTCGCAGTCACCGATGGAGACAGCACAAGGCACAGACAGACATGGCCAATCACCCCCAAAGCTCAAGCAGGTGAGCAGTCGACTCTGATTCGAGTATTGAAAACAACAAAGACCAACCAGATCACTCCTCATTCTCATCCTCGTCCTCGTTTCCCTCGGCAACATCGTCGTCCATCTCCTCATCCCAGTCTTCCAGGTCGTCGCTATCCCACTCATCCTCGTCGTCGTCATCGCCATCATCTTCCCCAGCTTCGCCATCACCCTGGCCTGCATTAATTTTCGCATTCTTCTTGGCCAGCTTCTTCCTCTCGACATTCTCTTTCTGCTCCTTCCGTCGGGCCTCTTTCTCCTGCCGCCTCTTCTCCCATTTGACTTCCAGAGCCTTTTCCTCAGCTTTAGTCTTGGTGACAAACTCGTTCCACATTACCCGTCCCTCGCAGATGCCTTCTTCTACTTTGACCATGCGGAGGCGCATCCGAGGGCCGAGTTCTACCAGTTTCACTGCTCGCTTTTCGACGTGCGATTCCACATTTGCCGCGGACTCCTTCATGGGTGTGTCTTTGTCTTTTTCTCCGTTTTGCTGTTGCTTTTGTTGTTGCTGCTGTCTCTGCTGCTCTCTCTTACTCAGGACGCGTTGGGTGGCGGTTTCCAAAACCTCAATCTCAGCATCCGTGTCAAGCTCGGTCTCGCTCGCTGACGTATAACCACCAGCGGAGGGGTCAAGGAGGTAATCCGCTACGTCCTCCAGTTTGCCCAAGTTCGGTAGTGCTCCCGACTTCTTCTCACGTAGTCGCTGTTCGCTTGGATCAAATCTGCGTACCCGTTTGGATATGCCTGTTCGACGGGTTGTGATGGCATAGTGGCGGAGGTTGATTATATATGTACCATCGGACTGAGGCTCGCGATTTAATAGTAAAATTCTTCGTATTGAGCTCAGAGGGGTCGTCTGTGGCGATATGGGAGGGAATATGGATTGGAATATAGTGGTAGTGAGGGATTCAAGCTGTTTCTTGATAGGGTCGGCTTTTGAATCTTCGCTTGTCTGGGAGGTGAAATTGTTCATAACCAGTAACGGCGCACTCAGATATTCTTTCCCTCCACCACGGGGATGTTTCTGCGCCTTGGCTATATCTTTGCACAGGGCATAACGGTCGACTCTGAAGGTGAGGGTCGGGCCTCGAGGTGTAAGTGCAACTCTAAGGTGCACATTGCCCGTTTTCGAGCGCGAGAAGAGGAAGAGGTGCGTTACACCCAGTGGACCAGCCATGGCGGTGTAGTCTTTTAACTTGTTGGCTCGTCGTTCCTGGAATACATGCGTCAGAGAATCGACACTGGCATAGAGGCGATACATCGAGTTTGTACTCACCTTCAACCTGCTTGCAGTGTCTGGCTCCATTACTGCTCGAAAATCTCGCGCCAGTTGTGTTACGCTGGACCCGACATCACCTGCGCCCATTCGAATAACCATACTCTTCGGCCGACGGTTCGCCTGCCCCGGCTTTCCGGGGGCGTCGTTGTCAGGCACATGAGTCCTCTTCTTCTTTCTCACTTTGGCCATGATCGTGGTCTGCGCTCCAGACTGTTGAAACAGAGAAATGTGGGCTGGCGCAGGTGTAATTGTGATATTGTGAATGAGGAGCAAAAAGTCCGAGACAACTTTTTCTTATCGATAAGAGGCTGATTTCAGTGGAGCATTCGACCTGGAAGCGTAGTCGAGAACCGCCTGTGCCTATTCGCAGGCAACCAAGCACCCAAGGCAACTAAAACAAAAGGAAGCCATTGCACCCAGCACACAGCAAAAAGGCTTATTGCAGAGGGTTCATGCAAGCCATCGAACAAACCTCGTGATCGTGGCTTCGTTCACAACACATGGACCGCATGACAACGCACCATCGCCAACACCTTTATCGGCATTTTAGGTCGTTGGAGCACTTTCCATGTGGCCTACATGTGGCCTACCATTTATCCAACGAGTCACCTACTACGCTTTGAACAACCGCGCCTAGCTGGTTATAGGCCACATTCACGGGGCGCCCTTACTCGTATTGCTCAGCCCTCGTGTGTAGGGGGAGTTGGTTCAAGGAGCCAATTTCCGATGGGAGCCACCATCCCCGCATCAACTAGCTAGCTGCGTCCAAGCCTCTCGCCAATGGCCTAGGAGGGCCCGGCAGGTCTTTCACAAGGCTGAGCAGCTTGTCGGCGTGGACTTCAATAGTGAGTCACCAGGTAGGGTGAAGAGGAGAGTATAAAGGGCTGCTCACGAGGAGTTGTCATGGACTCCTTCTCCAAGGACTCGAAGACCTCAATCATCCCTTTGTCCTCCAGCCACAGCTCCTGGTGTTTTTCCAATGGTTGAGCGCCAATTATACCACAAACCGAGTATCGTGTGACCACGATGCCACGCCGTTCTCACGACTCCATCAACACGGAGCCTCAAAAAGATCTACGATCTCAGAGACGCAGCAGAAACCGACTCGCGAAGCAATCCGCCAAATATTATGGATACCGTTGTGTGCAGCCCGGCTGGATCGACCAGGAGTATTTGTCCATAAGCGGATTACCACGAAACCCTTTCTATCCCAGCCCTAGCATCTTCGCAAGCTCCGGTCCCCTTCTTACAGATGCCGCCAACTTGAAGGTGGCAACATGGACCAAACGCGACATGTGGCTGGACCGTGACGCGGACATTTGGCCACTCGACATAAGACGCCACAAAGGACGGAGGATAAGGGATAAATTCTGCTGGAAGTGGAACGAGCTAGAATTTGGCCGAAGGACGAAGCAGAAGTCCCGGTATCTCGACTTCGCCACTGAGGATGGCGAATACTTGGCCGTGGGTCTCGATCTCGACATGGACAACTCGGTTTACTGGGACTTTGAAGAACACTGGTTCGATGACCCTGATGAGATTCGCAACGATCGGAACGAGCGACTGCCCCGCTATGTCAGTCTGGATGGCGAACTTTACATGGAAGATATCCCGGATGAGGTCGACTCTGAGTACGCTGACAGTCTTTGCGAGAGCGAACTTAGACAGCTTTATTACAACACCAGCGACGGAGACGATTTCAGCATCATTTCAGAACTAGAGCTATTGGACACTCAATCCTCAGCTTCTATTGAAGATGATTATGAAATGATTTGAGAATGATCGAGAGGCCTGAGTCACTCATGCGCAGGCGACGACTTTCCAGTGTACATTACCTTATTGCATTTTAGCGCTGTGTTACAATTCGGTAAAGGCAACATCAATTGTCCCTTTGATTACAGGTAGACAACGAGTTTCTTGACGTGGGCCAGCGCCCAGATCAACCACAAACATTTGAATAAGCATCCACAGTGAAGGCAGTAACTTCCCGTGACAGTCTAGGTCTAGCGAGAGCTTTTGTTCTATGGTAAAGACGGTGAGACATTGGAGCAATCCTCCCATGGTGGAACGGAGCATGGAAATACTCTCTTATTTCCTCCCACCCTTCTAAGCGCTCACTACGCGGGTGACGCTTCGGCTGGCGACGGTCCGTCTCAGATAGACTCGAGGTCCCTGCCCTTGCCGTCGGCGCTCACATGGACTTTTGTGCTGCCTTCCAAGACGGGAGACTCGCCCATGCTCGACGCCGTGCCGCCGGCTTTGACACCATAGACGACGCCCTGTTCGATCTCGTCCAGAGTACGGCCTTTCGTCTCGGGAATCAACAGCGTGCAGAGCGCAGTGAGGGCCATGATCCCGGACAGGATGCCGAGCACGGCAGGCAGGCCGATGGCATCTGTGAGCGAGCCAAAGGAGAAAGCGGTCACCATGGCACCGGCCTTGCCCGAGGCTGCGGCGATGCCGTGCGCTGTGCCGCGGACCCGGGTTGGGAACACCTCGACCGGTATAAGGAACGTGGTGCAGTTGGGGCCCATGTTGAGGACCAACTGCGACAGTGTGAACAGCGTCACCAGCCCGGCCGTGGAGCTGTGGTTGAGCACACCCGCCCAGATCGCGTACAGCACGGCGACGGCGGCGCTGCAGTAGAATTGCTGTTTCACTCTGCCGATCCAGTCTGGGAGGAATATTCCAATGTAGTAGCCTGGGAGATAACCCTGTTTTCCCCCCCATAGCGTGGAGACGTCAGTATAATGCACTAGCTCACAATAACGAACTAGAGAAGTGGGAGATTCCATCTTACCGCAGCCGCTACGATGATGTTGCCGACGGCGGTGTTCCACAGGGTATGCCACGGGGTTGGTCCCTTGCCGTATCCAATTCTCGACAGCACGATGCTCTGGTTGAGGTTGACTCCGTAAAAGGCAATATCACTTGAGGGTTTTTGTTTCGATCAGCATTTTGTTGCGGAGGATGGAAAAATTGTTTAAAAGGTGTAGCTTACAAGAGAAACCAGCACATGCTGACAGCGAACAGGACTTTGGCGTGCTTCCATTGCGAGAAATACTCCCTGAAATCTCGGAATTGCTCGCGGAGCCCTCGTTTGCCGTCCCTTTTGAGGGATGTCTCCTCGGCAACATCTTGGGATGTAAGCACATGCCTCGTAAGGAGCTGAGGGTGGACTCACATTGTCGATAGGGCTGGCTTTCTGGCATCGTCAACCGGAAATAGAGTGTGATGATAAGTGGAATGAGTCCAATGCCGAACAATAACCTCCACACCCATTGCAGATGGTATATGTTGTCGTTGACAGACGACTTGAAGGCAGCAAGGAGGACGAGATAGACGATGCCAGAAGTCATGCCTCCAAGACCGATAGAGGCAAACACTGTCAGGACCAGTTTCGCTCTCGAGCGCAGGGGGTTGTGTTCAGCGGATAAAGCTGAGGTCATCGGATAGTCTGCAGCAATGACTTGAGCAACACTTTCGAAAGGGTTTCCTGTCACAGCTTACCTCCGCCGATGCCGATACCTGTCACCACACGAAACACGGACATCCATGCGACAACATCGTGGTGCGAGAAGCCCTTCCACGGCATCAAGATAACCAGCAAGGTTCCAAGTATTGTCACTATAAGCTCTTTGCCATAGATCCTATGACGGCCCAGGGCGTCCCCAAAGATGCCAAAGCCGATCTGGCCCACGATCATGCCCATGGAGAGCGAAGCTTTAATCGTATCTGCCGGGACAGTAGGGATTGCGTTCTTCTCATCTTGGAAATAGAGATATCCGAGCATGGGAACAGCTGCGGGAGTCAGAACGTGGGACATCATGAAGAGGAAAAGGGGGACATACCAAGCCCGATGCTCAGGTTCAAGTATCCATCACCAAACAGACCAACACCTGCCACCACCAGGAATTTCAGAAAGGAGAAGCTGGAAGCTGTGTCGAGCATGACGACAATGACCTTAATTTGTTGATGCACCTTGACTTTAGCGGTATATCTCGGTGATCAAGCTCCAAACTCAACCTCATTGCCATCATTGCAAATATACATCTTTTCAACTACCTTGGTCGGGATGAGGCTATCGCTGAGATCTCGGGCCAAGCCCGCAGTGACTGTATATCTTTTGAAGCACATGTTTTCAAGCAAGACATGCTGTGAGGTGATCTAGACCGGCCAGAACGAATTGAGGGACTCGGGGAAACCACGTGCAAATGTGGTTTCAGAGATAATCTGACAAGATATCAATGAGGTCTGAACGGCCCCTGTTGACTTCCTTCCGATGTCTGGGACGAAGACCGATGATCCATTGAGGATCCTGCGAGGATTAGGTCTTGGAGCGAAGAGGACGTCAGCCACCCGCCGACTGGGCCGAGTTGTCTTGACACGACAGCCTCGAGATGAGTGGGAAACGGGTGGCCATATATCCTACCACGTGGACACGGATGAGGAGAGAAAAGTGGCTTGTAATGACGACTGCTCTCGGTCATGGATTGGTGAGGTAAGTTGTAATGTCAAAAGATATCTTGAATCCCGCTCAAGCAGCGAGACCCAATCACGTCAGCAGATTAAACGGCCGGCAATTGGTTGGAGAAGCACGACATTTGATCGACGCGGCATCCAGGCAGAGTCCCTTTTCCTCCTTCTCCTCTCCTTGTCACATTCGCCGGGCAATAGCGCGACTGAAACCATGGCGACAAGCCCGAGCGACCCCGGCTCATCAGCCGTGCAGGCTCTGCGAGAGTCCTTTGGCGACCGCAAGCCTATCGACATTAGCCGGAAAATCACAGCGTGCGTTTCTTGCCGGAAGCAGAAGATCAAATGCCACATGGGAGATGGCACTCCACCGTGCGCGAGATGTAAGAAACGAGGACTCTCATGTGTCGTCAATCGCAGTTTGCAAATGCTCCTTGAAAGCGATGTAGCGTGAGTCTGATTTTCATCCACTTCTACCCACCCTTTCATGAGACGACATGGGCCAGTCCCGTGAGGATAGAGGCAATAGCCACGATATTTGGCGACAACCTCTGACAGTCGGGCGAACTCGCGGAAGGCGCTGGTGCCGTGTCGTCTCGTCCAATCCAGTGTAGGCCTTTCACGGTCAAGGCTGACCCCAGCAGATGGAAAGCCAATATCGAAGAAAAATTGCGCATGTTAGAAGACTCTGTCAGGCAGCTCAATCAACGATCTTCGGACAGTCAGAATGCCCCATCTTATGTGCCCCAAGACAGTGCTTCTTCGACCATCCCAACCAATCAAGATGCTACCATGGCTACTGAGCAGCGTCAACCGACGGAGCCAGGCTGGGAAGTCGTCATGGACCTGAACAGAGGGCCGGGTGTGGTGCCGGCATCTTGCGTGTCGGAGGTAGCAGAAGCCTCGCCAGAGGTAGCCCGTCAGAACATGGCTGACACTCTCGACGTCATTGACCAAGGTATCATCACGCTCGCAGATGCGGAATCCTTCTTCCAATTGTACGCTCGGCGCCTTGATCATTTCCTGTACAGGATTCTGGCAGAGCACGACTCGCTGGCAAGCGTCCGGAGAAGCTCGCCACTGTTGACCGCCGCTATCTGTGCCGTGGGAGCCCTGCATACGCCCTCCAACTTGTATCACGCTTGCTACCAGCACTTTGTCAATTTGGCGTCTTCCAAGATGTTTTCCAAGAAGAACAATCATGATGACGTCCGCGCATTTTGCATTGGTGCCTTCTGGATAAGTGATATGTCGTGGACGCTCGTCGGAGCAGGCAAGTCTGCACTTACTGGTGTTTCCCGAGAACCTTGTGCTGACTACAATGCCCTATAACAGCTGCTCGGCTTGCGGGCGAGTTGAACCTCCACCGCTGTATACCCAAAGCTCCTCACACAAAGCGTGCTTGTTATCTACGGACCAGATTGTACTATCTTGTCTTCGTTTGCGACCACCATTTCTCAATCTGCTACGGGAGACCACCTTTGACCAGGGATTTCACATCGATCACTCCTCCAAGTCAGTTTCTGCAGTCTGAATTTGCGACTGAGGACGATTCTCGGCTTGTTAGCCAGGTGGAGATCTGGACCATTAGCACCCGTGTCTTTGATCAATTCAGTCTGGATCCGGAAGCCCATCTGTCCGATCAACTTATCCCACAACTCCGCCGGTTAAGCATTGCGTTGGATACCTGGCGGGCCGATTGGAACGAGCGATTCCACTTCAATGAATGCGTCGGTAACTACCCGCGGAAGGGAGTAGGGCTGCATTACCATTTTGCGAAGTTGTTTCTCTGCTCCCACGCCTTTAGGAGAGCCCCTGTTGCCGAAGGCGAGCATCTCCAACTGGATCCGGACCTAGAGGAGTTCGCTACGAGCGCAGTACAGTCGGCGATTTCGATCCTGCAAGTCATTGCTGCAGATCAAGAGATCCAGTCATATTTAGATGGCCTCCCTGCCTACTTCGATACAATGATCGCGTTCGCCTTTGTTTTCCTCCTCAAAATTACCATCAGGAACCCTGCCAACCTGCGGGTCGACAAGGCCGGGATATCTGAGACTTTGGACGTGCTAGCTACCGTCTTGAATAATATAACAAGTTCAATGCACCCACGCCACCTGCTGACCAGCATTGCAAGCAGTGCTCGAAAGCTGTTGGATCGGTTCTCGGGCCAGGAAGCCTTTCCGGCACAGCCTCAGGCTGCGCCAGGCCCATTGACTGCCTTTGACCCAGACAATCAGTGGCTCAGCCCTGCAGACGCCATGTTTCTCGAGAATTACGACTTTCTGTATTCACCAAGCGGTGATCTCAATTTTGACGGTGACCTCGGTTTTTCCCGCCATCAATAGGCAACACCATCTGGCAAGGGGCCTCTCACCAGTTAAGAGCCAGGTCAAAGGCATCGAAATTCCTCCACTGCCGGTCCTCAACTTGAGTGCCGGTAGGGTGAGATCGCAACAGAGGGATCAACTGCTCAGACAGCCCACCGTGGGAGCGAAGCCGATGGCCATGCAGATTTTCGAGGGCGTGTTCTTCTTTTCGACTTCCCAGAACGGCATTCTCCTTGGCGACCAGCACGATGTCTCCCTCGCGGTCGAGGGGCATCTCGAACATCTGAGAAGCCGTCGGTCCGTCTAGGGCAACTTCGATTTCTGGAAAGGTTCGACAGTAGGCCAGGGCGTCGTCGATGCTGATGTCTGCACGGTTCAAATATACCCTTACAAAAGAGCCCAATGCGCCGTGGTGGCGGACGAAAGGGTCTGTGATCGGGCAAATGACTCTCGAGGAGCCATGGCCAAATTTCCGATCCAGCTCTTCTTCAACGAAAAGGACGTTTGGGGTACCGTCATCCTTGGATTTGTCGCTCATTCCGTGATCTCCGGTCACGACAACAGTCGCCCCTAGTTGAACTAAGCGACCGATACAGTCATCAACAGTCGCCATGAAGGCATTTGCTTCCTTGCTACCAGGGGAAAATTTGTGCTGGACATAATCCGACAGGGTGAGATAGAAGAAATCAGCCCGATCTTCTTCGAGTAGTTTGATCCCGGCCTTGAGCACAAATAGAGACAGATCTCCTGAGTATTGGTCCGGCGCGGCAATTCCCAGCCACTTCTCGACATCAGATATGCCGTTCTCGGCCTGGGTACACTTGTCGGCATATTGGGCTGAAAAACAGATGTCTCCGCGCGAGCAGTTTAGGCCGTGGTTGATGATCGCCCTCAGCTTGTCTTTTGCAGTTATGGCAGCGACACGCACGCCTCGCTTCGACATCTGCTCCAGAATGGTTGACCCTCGAAGCAATGCGTCGTCGACAATCATTTCCTCCTTTCGAGTCGTGCGATCCAAGAAGAAATTCCCCGCGATCCCGTGCACGGATGTTGGCGCCCCGGTGATGATGGAGACGTTGTTTGGGTTGGTGAATGATGGCATGGCGCATTTCGCGGTGGCGGCGAAGCCCGATCGGACAAATTTGGCCAAGTTGGGGGTGATGCCGTCGGATATCCCTTGGTCGAGGTATTCGGGATCAAAGCCGTCAATGCAGATGACGACTGTGGGTTTTTCTGGGAGCTTGTATTTTCGTCCGTGCAATTCAAAGACAGATCGCGATGCTAACCATTCCGTTTCCTCGAGATCAGCTTTCTGCGACCTTTTGGGGACCATGGAGGGGAGAGAGCACGGTTCGCCGCACTTACCCAGGAGGCTCTTGGTCGCCATGCGTTCGTAGTATTCGAGCGGCAGTGTCGCCATCTTGGGGACCTTGGCCGTGTCGTCCCAGCGTCGAACAGCCAATTTGGCCTGTAGCAGGGGATCCTTTTGCGCCTCGGCGACCTGCTCCGGGGTGAATGTCCCGCCCTGGTTTCCCATGTCTTGTCAGTCTCGCGCTCAGCCCGAGAGCGAGCGAAACAGAGACAATGAATGTGATTACGCCAAAAATAACGGACGACGAAAACGAACCTGGAATTTCAGAGTCGTCTTGCTCGACTGACTCAGCCCGTCGTAGTACCCCTTATCCACGGCCGTCAGATATCTCTTCGCCATGACGTGCGCGCCCACCAATTGGCATATGGACTCGTTGAACCCCAGGCCGCGGAGGTACTTCTCGCCCAGGACCTCGTGGCTGCCGCGGCCGACAAAGACGCCGTCCGGCGCGATCATCGCCGGCATCTTCGCTGCCGCGGGGATGAAGCGGCCCACGTCGTGGAGCAGCGCGCCCAGCACTGTGTCGTCGTCCGCGCCGGCTTGGACTGCGAGTTGTCCGGTCTGCAGGGTGTGTTCGAGCTGCGAGACCTGCTCGCCGAGGTAGTCGCCCTGGCCTTGGGCGGCGATGAAGTGGAATAGTTCCTTGACGCATTCGCGCGTGTGGCGCTCGACGGAGGCGAGCATTTTTCGTTCTTCTCTCTTTCTCTTCACTTTTTAAGAAGTCCTTTTCTATCGACTTTTGTTTCTCGCACCTTAGATTTTGTCTCGTGCAGAAATGGCAGACAGAACCTATACGTCTGGTTTTTTTTTTTTCAGACAAAGAATCAGAATGAGAATCAGAGATTGAGGAGTTGAGGAGTTGAGAAGTTCGAGGACTTTTCTTTTCGGCGGGATATGTGTCTTGGATATTCAATCAATTGTTCGTCTGACTCCTTCGTCTACTTGCGGTGCTCACAGCCTGTCAATTGGCCCGGGGTGGGTGATGGTCGGCAGATGCCCGACAACGGGTCACCCACGCCGGACTGAAGATCGAGCTTTGTATGCCTGGAGATCATAAGCATACGGCGATGTGCCACCTGTACTGGCTCGGTGGACACTTAGACTCTCCCCAAAGAAAGACATGACAAAGTCTTTCAAGCACCTGAAGGGTGTGGAGCGAGACCATCTCCTGCGATGCTTCGACGCGGAGTTCGACCGATTCCATGGCGCCGGCATGAAGACCGCAAGGCTGTGGACCAGGGGGGGCCCCCAGACCCGTTGAAGTCGTGCAGTATTAAACAGCCGGGCCATTTCGGCTCGCAATTGGGATGCCTAGAAAACTACAGGCTGAAAGCTCTTTTCGTCTGTGTGACGTTATTTCAAGAGTAAAGCTCGACTTCGATTTCCTTTTCGCTTTCTTTGGCGAGATCAAACGCTCGAGTCCTCTAGCCATGCCGTCCTTCGTGCCGAGCCCGGAAATGGTGCAGCAATACCACCGCGACGGCTATCTCGTGCTCCGTGCAGAAGAGCACGGCCTCGTCACGCCTGAGCAGCTACAAGCCTGGACGGGGGAGGTGCGCGAGTGGCCGGCAGAAAAGGGCAAATGGATGCCATACCACGAGGTCAACACCGATGGCACGCGACAGCTCATGCGCACCGAGAACTTTGTCGACTATCATCCCGAGTTCCACGCGTTGCTGTGCGGCGAGGCTCTGGCGAGGATTCTGAAGAGTATTTCGGGAGATGTAAGTTCAGTTCAGTTTCAGTTCCGCTTCGGCGCTCGTCGTGTCACGGCGAGTTGTGAATGATTGCTTACCTGCATGCCTGGTCGCTTGCGTCCCTGTGAATGCTTTGACTGCATTGTGCTGCGCTGGACTGGACTGGACTGGACTGGACTTGGTTTTGTTAACATATATATTCTGTGTTGCGTTTCTGCAGGACATGCTCCTCTTCAAAGACAAGATCAACTACAAACTCCGCTCGGGCAACGGCTTCGCGGCGCACCTCGACGCGCCCGCGTACGACCACATCGGCAAGATCGAGCACCTCACGGCCAACTTTGCCGTCGACGAAGCGACCGTCGACAACGGCTGCATCGAGGTCGTCCCGGGCTCGCACCGCATGCCCGTCGAGCTGTCCCACGGCGGCGCCATCTCCAAGGCCTGGGAAGACGGCCACGAGTGGGTCAAAGTCCCGCTGCGGCCGGGCGACGTTCTCCTCTTCGGGAGCCACCTCGCGCACAGGAGCGCGCCGAACCGCTCCCCGAAGAACAGGAGTAGCATCTACGCGACGTACCATGGGAAGAGTGACGGCTTGGACCTGAGGCGGAGGTATTACGAGCATCGGAGGGAGAATTTTCCTCCTGACCACGGTGGGTTTCCGAGAAGCCATTCTCTCAAGATTTTGCCTCTGGTGCGGGAGGCTGACGTTTTTTTTTTTTTTTTTGTGTCACAGAACGCGTAGCTGGAAAGGATTACAGCCAGGGTTACAAGACCTACGGGTTCGCCGCCCCGTTCATGTCGGAGAAGCAGGTCGAACAGGACACGGCTAGGGTACAACCTGTCCATTGAGGCGGGAGGCATTGAAAGAACTACTGGAAGGGCAGAAGTTCCCCACGGGATATTTTTCTCAGGCCCATGCCATGGCATATTTTCAAGTTGGATGTTCTTACTCGTCGCTCCCATTTCTTCTGATTTGTGAGATGGATGTGTACCTGGGAGGCAACGGGGTCGAGGCGAGGCGAGGCAAGGGCACTCATGCTTGAATGCTTCGAGGTCAGCCGCCGGCAATGGAGGATGTGCTATGTGTGTGATTTATTAGTCAAACTCTCGGCGAGAGACACCCTTATCCTCATAAAAAATATTCACCATGATCAAAAATGGACTGACTCAAAAGCCGTGAGAAAAGGATGGTGGTGGAAATTCTGCCCGTTTTTGGGCCTTTAAAAATCCGCGACGGACACACCGCTTCCCCGTTCCCTGGCCAGAGCCAAAATGGCCATGCCGGCGGCAAGATCGGTCGAACTGACGCCAATGCTCTTGTAAACCACGAATCCATGTGACAGCCATTCGTGGGGACTCTTGTTTGTCGAAAAAGAAGACGACGACGAGGACGACGAGGAACTGCGCGCCCAGGAAAGCATCTCGCCTGCCTCGATCAAGTCATCTGCTTGGAGCTGACTGCCGATGACTTCCCCAGAGCTTCTCAAGCATTCATTGCGGTCGTCGACGAGAACGAGTCCGCCACCGTGGCCGAGGGGGTTTTTTCCACGACTCGAGTCGACCGCGTCGCGCAGTAGTTGCGGGTCCAGCTCGATCATGTCGGGTTGCCACGAACCAACGCTCGACACGTAACACCCTGTGCTGCCGGTGCTGCTGTTCAACTGCACTTTCAAATACCGCGCTGGAAACAACGGTTTTGCAGAAGGGGTGGTGCAGAACACGATGTCCGCTTCGGCCAGCAGACCTTCTAACCTCTGTTCGTAGTTTGGTGTAATGGGCGAAATGCAGGTCACCTTGGCCGGCGACTTCCAGTGCGCGTCGTTCTCGTGTTGCAGCTGGGCGACGAGCGACTCGGCCCTTTCTGCGGACCGGTTGACAATGGCGATCTGTGCGATCTCGTCACCCCTCAGCGCCAGCGTGAGCCGCACGTGCCAGAGTGCCTGTTTGCCGGCGCCGAAGACGACGATGTGCGCCGTCCGCGCCCGCCACACGTAGGGGATCATCACGGAGAGTGACGTGCGATACGCGGTGATTTCGTCGGCGTTGATGATCCCGACCGGCACACCGTGCTTGTCACATAGTGCCAGGAGCCCGTGCAAGGTCGCGTTGTTACCCTTTCCGGACGACGACTTCGCCGTCTCGAGTGCCTCGCTCCCCGCGGAAGGGTCGACGATGATCTTGATCCCCACGTTCTCGCTTGAGGTGAAAGGCCGAAACAGCGTCTTTGCGTGTGGTCGTGTGACGACGACTGAGTCCGGCGCGATCTGGCGCTCTTCGGGCGTGGAGAAGTCCTCGAGCGCTTTGGCCAGGTAATCACGGACACGGTAGATTTCGTCCTTGGACAGGGAGATGAGAATCTCGTGCACAGCCGCGTCGCCAAGGACGAGAAGACCGCTGCTCATGGTGGCTTGGCCGGGGCCGAATATTTCTCTCACTCTCACTCTGTCTCTTGTCTCTGTCTCCGTCTCTTCCGGGGTGGTTTTATCATAGACCCATAATCGACGCTATTGTGGTTGGGAGGGAAATGGGGCAGGGGGGGAAGGGTAGAAGGAAGCGAAGGAAGCAGGGAAGAAGAAAAGAATTTGGTAACCCATACTACAATGACCTGGGGATGTGTGTGCTCCATAACACTAATACCCCGGACTTCATCCACATTTTTCCCCTGGAGAACAAGTGGCTCAAACGTGGAGTATCGGCGTCGCATCCGATGGAGAAACTGGGCGTCCAATACGTGAAACTCGGCTTGGGTAGCCGGGGGATCGGGATGTCATCCGGGAATTATTGTAGAGTGAGTAAGTAAGAATTACCATCAATGCGCTCCTGACGGCAATGGTAGAGTAGAGATGTTTCCTTATGCGGATCAAGCGGACGGAGGTAGAGGCTGTGGCGTTGTCAGCACCGATGAATGTTATGGATCGATCGACTCCAGACTATCTTCAGCGTCAATCTACTGCTCGGACTCACGCCAACGTTGCTGGGGCAGGAACGAATGACTTACAATGGGCCGGAATCCAGGATGAACCCCATTGTATACTGGCCCGAAACGTCCGACAGACTTTTGGCTAGGAGACACTGCTGGCCCAAGACCTTGTTCTCTGTGGTGTGAGTCTTTTTGTGTGCTTTGTATCAAGGAATTCTGTGTAGCCGTCTCATCTAACGAAAGTCTTTATACACATGGGTGTAGAGTCTATAGCTTCCCCATTTCTGTTGATGTGCAACTTTACATCTTGGAAACCTGCACTCCACATCGCTGCCTCCGCTGACCGATTCTTCAAGGATATGCATCTTCTCTTAATGTACCGAGTTTGAATTGTCGGCGCATGAAAAGGCCGCAGACCCGCCGGACGCCTTGTATGAGTCGATAATACCAACAATGGATCCGTAGGTACCGCCAACCATGAGGAAAGTACCGGACACGATGACAAAGATGCTCCATCCGACCATAAACGTCCACCAGCGGCCGCGCTCGGGCTTGGGCAGACCCCAATGATCGTAAAGCCACATGAAACCCATGGGTTGAAACGACAGTAGTGTACCGAGGAGGGCGCCGATCAGCGACACAAGACCGCCGAATACGGGGATGGCGCTGGCGATGATGTAGGAAATCACGGTGACGCCAAAGGTACATCCGATCCAGCCGGACCAGTGGACCATGGTATTGGACGTGAGATGTCGAGACTGTCTGAAGACGCGGATGAAGATGTACTTGGCAGCCAGCTAGAAATTCTCCAAGTCAGGGGTCTGTATGGACGTGCTGCGTGAGAGGAGAGACTTACATGGATGAAAAGCGTCGTGGACACCAGCAATCCTGGAATTGCGAGGCCGTAACAGACCTTCTTCATGAGTGCACCCGCGGAGCCCAGAGCTGGAGAGGCAACATAAGATCCACAGTAGTAGTAGACAACCACGCCAATTGTAATGTATGTTGCTGTCACGCCAGATTGGCAGATCAATAGCGCACGAGTGTAGTGTTTCGGATTGCGCATCTCTGACACAATGGCAAAGAATCCCGGAGTGCCGGCATATGCAAATACTAGGGAGGATATCGCAGATATGGCATCGGTGAAGCTCGGGTTCTTAAACAACTTGTAGTCGGAAGACCACGGTCCCACTTGAGGAGCATCGGCAGGTCGACTCTGCACACCGACAGCGATGGTCACAGTCAAGACTGAGGAGCTGGTTAGATCGGAGAAACAAGGTAGAGACGGGAGTGGTATAGCTTACTTGCGGTGACGATGGAGGTTAGACCAACCCAGGCGAGCCATGAGATTCGGCCGAGTGTCTGAATGCTCCCCAACAAGCATCCTGCAATCGCCGCCACCAACACAAACACAGCAGTACAGGCGCCATGGGTCGAGACTGCGTTCAGCCCGATGGAGAGACCGAGCATGCCGGAGCCGCCAACAAAGATCCAGTCTGCAAAGGAGTCAGAAACCTAAAGCAATAGAGTGCGAGACCAGGACTAACACAAGCAAAAAGCAATTCCAAGAACCTCACGGCCGGGACGTCCAAAGATCAAGCCGCCAGCATCGTCAATACCATAGACTGCACGATGTCGAAGCTTGAAAGCTCCCACCATGTAGTCGGACCAGGTGGTAATGATGGCAATGGCTAGCAAGCAGATGACGCCAGGAATCAAGCCTAGCGTGTCGAAGACTGCTGGAATAGAGAGCACACCGAGGCCGATCTGGGTCTTCATCATCAGGGCAACCGTACCCAACCAGCCCACCTGGCCGAGCAAGTCAGCATAGTCCTGGTATATATATGTAGGGAGTGATTTGATGCTCACGTTGCGATAGTTGGGTCCCTCCTCTGTCACCTGCCCAAAGACAGCGTCATGTACGCTCACGGTGCTCGCAGAACGTTGGACATTAACCATTTCGCCCTTGTCTGTAGTCTGGACAGGGGCTAGGTCTTCAACGTCTTTATATTCCTTCGACATTTTGACGGCGGCTCTGTGGAAAAATGCAGAACGCGATGGTGTAGCAAGAGTCAGGGCAGGGTTGAATGCCGTGAGACGATGGAGATGGGTCGGGAACTCAAGGGAAATGTTCTCACTTATCTACTTGTGACTTGCCCCTTGTACACGGCAGATTGCAGAGAAGCTTGAGCCTGATAAGCCATATCCCGAGGGACGCATATTGACGTCAGGTTGTCGCATCCCCCAGTCTGGACCAGAAGCCAAAGTCGACTCTAGGTTTAATCCATAAGTATCGGTGGCACCTCCCCGCAAGTAACGGGATGATCCTGTCGCGCGTGGGCATCTAAGAGACTAGGCCCCCCGTTACTGCGATAAGTGGATTTCCCTGGGCCATTTCCGGTCGAGCTACCAGCCTCGATCCTACCCTCGGATCACGTCCCGATACTCATGGGCGTGATATCGGATCCTCAGCCGGTGATTCCCAAAAGTTCCTGTGGCCTGTAGAAGGATTGGCCGAGGTCGTATGAAATGCACTTGATGTACGAGCTAGTGTGTCCATACTCTGGTCAGAAATGCCGAGGCAGCTAGGAGTCGGGGCTGCTGCACTGGATACAGGAAGTCCATGCGCAAGCCTTTTCGATGCTACAAAGAAATGCTAGAACAGAAGTCGGCGTGCAGTAGCTTGGGTACGATCATCTGGCGTGTTTCCGAAGCTGAAATTGAGGCAAGTCTCTCGAATATGGTGAAGACTCATAGTCTTGTACTTGCTCTTGTAGGTGTCATAGGAGTGGTCTTCAATTCTAATTCAATTGCCATCCAAAACTTCAGTTGGTAGTGTCGACAGTGTTTGCAAGTGTGGGAGTAAATGATCTTTCAAGTCTCCGGTTCGTACCGACAAGCCGAATCGAAGCTTCACTAAGCCTTGCCAAGCCATACTAAACCCTGACATTTTAGTGAGAACGCGATCGGGTAACCTGCTATTTGCGGTTGAAGCAGTAGCCGGAAGCTAGGCCGAGGGCAAGTGAAGCGAGAGATAAATAACAACTTGTGGATTTCTCTATCAATCTTCTTATCATCCTACCCATTATTTGTCCGATCGATTCTCCGTCCCAGAACAGATTTGATAAGGAGGTAGTAGCTAACTGTCTCTTCGTATCTCTCCGCCGATCTTTGAAATTAGAGGATGTGCACCACTGAATGAAAACCACCTGGTGTGAAGAACCTGACGCGAAATCCGTGTATCGCTACCGTCCCTCTCTCATATCAAGGGCCGGAAATTGAATGAAGGTCATGACTGAGTGACGAAGTTGTTGCAGTCAAAATTTCGATGCCGCTGGCTCTACGCCGTGCTGTCGGTTGTCCCAGATGTGATTGAAAACAAGTGTTGTCGACGGCACGGCGCCCTTCCAACTCGGTTCTCAAGATGCGCATATCACGGACTGGCAGCATGAATCTTCTGTTACCCGCTGAGTTCTTGTCAAGCTCTAGGAATGCAGCTTACCACCTCTCGAAGGGGTGCTCTATCGTACCTATGCATCATGGCAAACGGCTGACCCTGCCTTTGCTACGCGTCCGGTTCCCGATCTGTTGCGCCGCATCACGTTCCTAGCTGAGATATCTCTCTGATGACGATGCTGCCAGAAAGAGCCAAGAATGGAAAATGCACTTTCAAGAGGACGAGTATCTTACATCCTGTCGCAACTCTGTGCCTTTCGTGATCGATTGGATTCTCCACCGCGACGCCCATTCTTCCTCAGAGCGTTTGACCCACGGTGGCTGTGTAAGCAGGTGGCTGTGCAGATTCGGCCAGCCCTAGCATTCGTCAAAAGCAACATGATATATCTGGTGATCTGGTGACCATCGTGGCCCGAAGCATCACCTGGTACTTCTATGACACCACGACAAACTCTCTCTGCGATCCAGCATTGCATTGATGCTTAAATTTGCGTCATATATCAGGGAAATGGCGATATCTTTAGTATCGAGTTCAAGAACCCGTAACAGAAGCAAATTATACGCGGTCGACCGCAGATCGGGAGTCCACGCCCGAGGAGCCGAAAACCTACCAAGACGAATGCCGCTTCAGGAATACGCCATCTTAACGCCCAGTCCAGCATTTACCATGTTGAATTCACCCAGTACACCAACTTGTCAAACATAGTATGCTTCATAAGTGTCTCATGGACCCTGGAAGCCCTCTTGGTAACATGGGTAGAACGTCTCAAGAGCAATCCCAATCCGACCATGATGACTTGGGTCCATTTTCTCCCGAACCACAAACGGCTTCGCAAAACACTGCGACAGATATCGAGGCACTCGAGACGCCGATAGTAGAGCAGAGCAAAGTGCATCGAAGCACCTGGAGAATAGCCGCTACACTGGTCGCATTGTTCGTAAGCGTCTCGACAGAAGCTTGTGGCCGACCTGCGTCCTTACTGATACATGTCTAGTTGTCCTTGTTCGTTGCTGCACTCGATGCCACCATCACTGCTACAGCTACACCAGTCATCGTTCATGATCTCGGCTCAGCTGTCGGATATACCTGGATTGGGGGTGCCTATCTACTTGCGAATGCCGTGGGAGCTCCAATATGGGGCCAGCTGTCGGACATTTGGGGACGCAAAATGATCTTGCTGGGCGCCCTTGCAATATTCTTTGCGTCGTCCACCGTCTGTGCCGCTGCCACAACCATGTCAGGAATGATTGTTGGTAGAGCTCTTCAGGGTTTCTCCAGCGTGGGCATTATATTGATTGTCCAAGTGGTGATTTCTGATCTATTCAGCTTGAGGTTGGTTTCCTCACCGACCTTTTCAGTCCAGAAGCCTAACCTTTCTCTAGACAAAGAAGTCTGTTCCTTGGACTGTCCCAAGGGGTCTGGGTTGTAGCTGGTGGCTGTGGCCCCATCATCGGTGGCTTATTTGCCTCTCTTGTAACCTGGCGTTGGTGTTGTAAGGGTCATGATGTTCGATGGACGTCCACATACTGACAGCGACCAGTTTGGATCAATTTACCCGTTTGTGGCTCGTCATTCTTCATGACGTTGCTCTTTCTGCGAGTTCAACACACGAAAACCGCCTTCCGAGTCGGAATGAAAGCTATCGATTGGTGTGGCCTCTTGACCTTTCTGGCTGCGATTCTGATGGTATTGATCGGACTCAATTTGGGCGGAGTCGTCTACCCGTGGACGTCTGCAAAAGTGATCGTTTTACTCGTTGTGGGAGCTACCATGTTTGCCGTTTTCATCTTCTGTGAAGCCAGACTAGCCGAATATCCGTTGCTACCGCTCGGTCTCTTCAAGCAATGGTCCAATGTGGCTAGTCTGCTTGTGTGCTTCTCACATGGTTTAGTATGGTCTTCCTGCCCGAAGAGAAATGCGTTTGCTGACAGCGGTTCAGGTCTTTATGGCTCTGGAATTCTACCTCCCGTTGTTCTTTCAATCCGTCAAGACAGCCACTCCGCTCAAGTCTGGTCTGTATGTCTTGCCCATGGCATTATGTACAGGGCTGGCTGGAGTTGCGGCCGGGATGATCATCCACCGTTTTGGTAGGTTCAGAGCACTCATATGGGTTGGCACCTGTGTAATCTGCCTTGGAAGCGGCTTGCTCGTCATGCTCGACACGGAATCTTCGATTGCCACAGCCCTCGGAATCCAGGTTGTGATAGGCACTGGGTCTGGGCTTTTATTTCAGTCGCCGATGATCGCCATTCAGAGCAGTGTCGATCAGCAAGACGTCGCAACAGCGACTGGCACGTTTGCGTTTGTCCGAAGCACTGCCATCGCCGTATCGGTCATTATTACTGGTGTAATATTCCAAAGCTCCATCGATCAAAAAGCGTCCATGCTCGCCGAGGCTGGCCTTCCATCATCGATTCTGGAACGATTAACGGGCAAGGAGGCAGCTGCGAACGTCATGATCTATACCGAGATAGGGGATCCCTCTCAGAAGCTTGCCGTGTTGCGAGCGTTTGCATGGTCGACGCGCCAGATGTTTATCGCCACCACCGCCTTCGCCGGCTTAGGCCTTGTTGCAGGTTTGTTCGTCAGACACGGTCATCTGAGCGAGGAACACACTGAAACAGTCACCGGAATCAAAGAAAAGACGCCAGTCACTTGAGCGCACAATCCTTATCAGGAACAGCATTAGCACACTAAGATAGCCGTCACTCTCGCGACAACGAAGGGTGAATATGCACATTCCTCTGCGACTATGCACTACCGAGGACAGCGAATCTAGAAACGAATCCCTCGGGCTGCGCAAAGCAAAAAAAACCTTGTACGGAGGGACTCTTCACTCGAATATCTTGCTACCTCTACAACCCTCACAGATGACTGATTCGCACCAAAGTGATTGTGTATTGCTGTCAACTTAGAGGCTGCACGGATAGATACCGAAAGACGACGACGCCATCGCCAACCTATCTTCGTGTTGTATACCATTCCACAACCAAAACTGACTCCGTTCCGGGTCATATCTGGGGTTAGCCCCAAGCGGCATCATCGCAATCTGCGAAGACGCCGGACCACGCGAGTGACCGAGATCCAATTGCTATTTTAGCGGATTCAGACCAGATAATCCCGAGTTCCCGTATCTATCCGAAGCGGCATATTACCAACACAAGCTATACGTCGGCCGTTCTCCCCGAGCCTGGTGGATACCAGCCTTCGAGAGCCATAATTCCAGATTTAGTCTAGTACGCCTTCGTCACTTATGGACGCTATCATCAAGATATTGGACGTTATAGCCCTGTTGAAGTCAAGCGATAAGCAGCAGCTTCTCACTGTCCTTTTCTTCTCACTGTCCCCCTAACTCAAAGGCTCTGTCTTTGGCTGGTTTGTCTTCCATTCGCAAAGACAGGAGTCTCAAGATGCTTCTACCGTCCACCACATTCTTGGACTTGGATAGTTTATCCAGGGTACTCAGTATCTACAAATGGATTGCTTTGCTTTTCCTGGGAGTCCCCTTACTATGGATTACCATTAACTATGTGAGAGTGCTACGCTTGCGACGGCGGATGCCTCCAGGCCCGTTTCCCCTGCCCATCATCGGGACTGTGGGTAGGATTCCCATGTCAAAGCCCTGGATCACGTTTGAGAGGTGGGCAAAGGAGTACGACAGTCCACTGATCACCATCTGGACGGGCACGACCCCAACCGTGATTGCAAACGACTGTTGGAGCGCGTCGGAGCTCATGGACAGAAGGGCGAATATCTACTCCTCACGGCCTCATATGGTCCTTGTCGGTGATATGTTTGACGAAAGCACGACGAATCAAACCTCTTTGGTCTATGGGGATCAGTGGAGGACTCATCGCCGGATCATGGTGATTGCACATGTATATCTTTTTCCTACCGGGTTGAAGCTGACCTACTCTAGCATGCTGCCGTCGGGGCACAAGCTGTCCGAGCGTACCGCAGTTTCCAAGGCAATGAATCTCGTGTGCTGGCTCTCAACATACTGGAAAGTCCTGATGACTATGTAAATTCTATCGAACGATACTCCACCTCAGTCGTGTCCATCGTCGGTTGGGGCCGACGAATTCAGGCCAACAATGATTACGTCCTAGGGATTGCCCTGTCCTTTGTCCAGAACGGTGCCGGCTTTTCTAGTCCTGGTCAATTTCTAACCGAGTCGTACCCATGGTTGTGCAAGCTTCCTGCGTGGATCTATCCGCTCCCTTCGATCCTGTGGAAGGAAGGCCAGAGGTCGCTCAAGTACTTTTACGCTCTGTCCCTGGAGGCTTCGCTGTCAAAGATTGACAACTTCTCAAAGCACCTCATAAAATCACAGAAGCAATACGGCCTGAGCTACAAGGAAGTGGCCTCCTTGACTGGAAATCTGATAGGAGGTGGCGTGGACACGACGACCACGTCGACAATCTCCTTTATCTTTGCCATGTGCCTCTTTCCGGAGGTTCAGCGCAAAGCGCAGGAGGAGCTTGACCGAGTCCTTCCGGAGAGAGATCGCTTCCCTACCTGGACAGAGGAGAACCAGCTCCCGTATCTTGACGCCATTATCACCGAGAACTTCAGGTGGCGATCGGCCATTGTCCTAGGCGGGCCTCCGCATGCACCCATCAAAGACGACGTCTATAACGGCTACTTGATACCCAAGGGAACCACCCTGATTGGAAACCTATGGGCCATCCACCGCAATCCGAGAGACTACCCGAGCCCGGATGAGTTTCGTCCAGAGAGATGGCTGAACGAGGATGAACGCCGACCGAATCCTACAAAGCGAGGCATCTTCACGTTCGGCTGGGGAAGACGCGCCTGCAGCGGCCAGCCCATGGCCGAGCAGGGCATTTGGTTCACGTGCGCGGAGCTCCTGTGGGCTTTCAAGATGAGGGCTATCGATGAACATGTAAGCATTTTCAGATCCTGTCATGCCATGCCCGACACTGCTAACATGTACCAGGGAAACAATGTCAAACTAGATCCGTTCGCCTACGACGATCGATCCACGTCGCGTCCATTGCCTTTCCGAGTCGAATTCAAACCGCGATTTCCCGGCGTCGAGGACATTATAAGATCCGAAGCGAAAAGAGCACTCGCAGAGCTCGAGATGTACAACGGGGAGACTGCTGTGACGATGGACAACGCGGAACAATTCCTCAAGTAATAATAGCTCGCGGATCCGGTCCTTTCTTTTTCGGGACCTGGAATCTCTTTGTTGAATATATGCCACGCGCCTTGAAATCTCCTCTCAACTTGGGAAACTATTCCCGTGCCCACGGGACCTGTGATGTAGGGATGGGCGGCTTCTTTCCCGATTCAAAGTACGCCGACACTTCGTCGATGAATTGACGTCTCCTTCTCGATCCCGTTGCCAGCATGGCTAGAGTGACACGTTAAATCTTGCCTTTCTCGTGGGGTTTTCCGCGCTCTGAGATGGGAAGGGAAAGGGGGTTTACTACTCACCAGGATTGACGTCGCTCGTGTATTCGCCGTCCATGACTAAGAGGGTGTAGCCCTTGCAAAATCCGTAAGTGATGGGGAAGAGGCGGATGGTGGTGACGACGCCGATGTATTCGAGAGGCAGCTTTGACCAGTTTGTGCTGAATTTGATCATGTAGTCGAGATGCTGTACGGATTTCCAGGTCAATCAATCACAACTTCGTAAACCTGGACGAACGCCGCTATACACACACCCCCTCTCCACGGTGGAAGAGAGTTTTGGGATCATATCAAGCCATAGAGAGAGAGAAAGGGGGGTACTTTGCCATACATCCAACGCCTCAACTCGGCAAATGATTTCATGCTCGTCCTTGAAATCCCACCGCACAAACTGCGTCTCCTCGCCCTTGTCGTCGTAGATCTTTTCCGCCTTTTTCAGACCCGAGTGAATGGGTTCCCACTGGTGGATTTTGGAGACGAGAGCCCAGAGGTCCTGGACGGGGGCTTTGATGACGCCGGACTCCTTCACGTACGCCGCGAGGGGAAGGAAGCTCATCTTGGCCAGTACTGAGCAAAAGGGGTATTTGTGCGTGAGAGAGGCCTTGGTCGGTATTGTCGTTGATGGTGGCTTCTTGTTGACGGCCACATGGTTTCTGATGGCAGTACGAGGTATATTGTCCTGGTATTTGATCGTGTGTAGCGTTCGGTGCTTTTCCCGAGCTCTCGGGGCGTGGCAGGGCGATCTCCAAGTCGCAACTACGCTGCTAGGCAGCTCTGTATACTGAAGGCGGACCTCGCGGAGAACTGGCTCGGCAGGTCTCGGCTTTGTCATTATATGTTTCTCAAAGTCAAATGGTCGCTATATCCAAGAAAGACCCGTTGAATCGGCAGAGAGGCAGGGCACCGACGTCAAACACGGAATGCTCCAAGGGGGGTTGATGGAACGATTATGGACGAAATGTCTCTGCCACCACTGATTACGCTCGAGGAGCATTTCGTCTCCTCTCACCTGCTGTCTCACCTCTCCGAAATCTACTCGGAACAGCTGAAGCACCTCCCAGATGTAGCGTCCAAGCTGTTGGACGTGGGCGACATCCGGCTGCGGGACATGGACACAAATGGCATCTCCTTGCAGATTGTCTCTCATGGCCCCGGCCCAAGTACTCTGCCGCTGGCACCGTGCCGACAGGCCAACGACCAGCTCAGCGAGGCCGTGAAGAAACATCCCACGCGATTCGCAGGGTTCGCCGTCCTGCCCATGGCTACTCCCGAAGACGCAGCCGGCGAGCTCCGCAGATGCGTCGAGGAGCTGGGATTCGTGGGCGCCCTGATCGACAACCACGTCCATGGCAAATACTACGACGCGCGCGAGTTCTGGTCCGTCTTCGAGACGGCATCGGAGCTGGACGTGCCCCTGTACCTGCACCCCATCTACCCTACAGAGCAGCAGCAGCAGTTGATCTACCAGGGCAACTACAGCCTCGGGGCCGAACGCGGCATGGGCTCCAGCAGTTTCGGCTGGCACCAGGACTGCGGGCTGCACGTGCTGAAGCTCTTCGCGTCGGGTTTATTCGACGCGTACCCCAAGCTCAAGATCATCATCGGGCACTTTGGGGAGATGCTCCCATTCATGCTCGAGCGCGTCGAGAAGCTCTGCGTCCGCTGGGGCGAGCGACGGCGGGGTTGGCGACAGGTCTGGGACGAGAACATCTGGGTCACGACCAGCGGCGTGTGGAGTCTGGCGCCCCTGGCATGTCTTTTGCGGAACACCGCTGTCGAGAGAATCCTGTATAGCGTGGACTATCCCTTTGAGAAGAATGAGAATGGGCTGAAGTGGATCAAGGAGTTACAGGAGAGCGGCATGGTTACGCGAGAACAACTCGAGATGATTGCGTTCCGGAACGCGGAGCGATTGCTGCGCGTCCAGGCCGGGAGGAAGGTCACGACAGCGACAGAGAGCGGTATGTCCCAATGAGCCTTTAGGAATAGATGCTGGAGGTGAGAGGAACCCCCGGTCTGGGTGTAATTGATTCCTTGGATGGCTCCCACCCTGAATAGTTCCTGCTGTGTCAGCCTGAATAGAGAAAAGCGATTCCATGTGGATTCCCTCGGCGCGCGTAGCTTCTCGAGCTCGTACATTCGGCGTCCAGGCCTGCCGGTCGCTATAGGTCCCCAGAGCCGGAGGTATCGATCCGGCATTATGTGAGGAAGACGGAGTATTTCGGACATGAGGCCATCCAAAGCCCTGTCCATGCGAGGCGCTGTTGTGATTCGTCGCATTAAATACTTGACACATGGGCCATGTATATAAAAGCCACATATTTCGTGCACCTGAATTCCATTCTTAGCTTGTCTGATCCTCGCCTACGATTACTTTTAAGCCGATCGACAACATGAGTACGTTTCAGAGCAGCCTCGAGGCTAGGATCGCCGAAGGTCCCAAAGGCATCTTGTCTGCCGTGGTAGTGGGATTCGGTCGAGATGGAAAAGGTAAATGATGGCCTTTGCAACTTCCAAGCTACAAGAAACCTGAGCTCACAGACGTCTAGATGTGGTGATGCGCTACGAGAAGAGCGCGGGTCGACAGAGCTGGAGTGCGGATACACCAGCGTCTCTGGACAGTACCTTCTGGGCGTTCTCTTGCACAAAGCTCCTCACCACCATTGCCGCTCTGCAGTGTGTCGAGCGAGGCTTGGTGACGCTGGACACCGAAGTGGCGACCATCCTGCCGGAGCTCAAGGACCCTCAGGTCATCGTCCCGGACGGAGACTCGTTCACGCTCAATCCCGCAGCGGCCAAAATCACGCTGGGACACCTGCTCTCACACACCAGTGGGCTGAACTACGACGCCATGAATCCGTTGACGACCGCGTGGAGAAAGTCCCGAGGCGAGGCGCCCCTCGTCTTCAGTGGCCGCGTCAAGGACTCGTACTCGACGCCGCTGCTCTTCGAGCCCGGCGAGGGCTGGGTCTATGGAGGCTCCATCGACTGGGCCGGTATCCTGGTCGAGAGACTCAACGGCAACGTCAAGCTCGGCGAGTACGTGGAGACGAACATCTTCAAGCCGCTGGGGATGAATTCTTCCACCTTCGACATCAAGAGCCGGCCGGACATCCAGGACAAGTTGCTGGAGATGAGCTACCGGGGCAGCGACGGGCTCCTCGTCCCCTCCACGTCGCCCTATACCGGCTCCTCCGCCGAGCATAGCGGAGGGATGGGCCTCGTGACGAGCGTGGCGGACTTTGCTGCTGTGCTGATGGATCTGATCAGGGAGACGCCGATCCTCCTCAAGAGCGAGACTGTCGAGCAGATGTTCAAGCCTCAGTTTCTCGTTGGGAGTGCCCAGCACAAGGGACTCCTTGCTCAAGATGTAAGATATGCCCCTTTCCCCTTTAGAGACCTTGCGTATTCGCCTTCGACAGGTTCACTAACGATAATGAATAGTCCCTACACAAACAACTCACGGGCATCGACAGTGGCGACGCTTCCGCTCCCATCAGCTTCGGCCTGGGCGGCTTGATCACGTTGGAAAAAGTGCCCAACCTCCCCAAAGGCACGCTAACGTGGAACGGCATGCCCAATATCGGGTGGTACGTCAACCGTGGTCTGGGCCAGGGAGGCTTGTTCGTCACCCAGATCTTGCCGGCGGGAGACGAAATCAGTGTGCAGTTACTAGGCCAGTTGGAGAGAGATGCGTGGAAGGCCTACTACGCGCACCATGGCGGCGAGTAGAATGCCATTAGATACACAGCTACCCATAGTAGAAAGACCGTGTTATATAGACGGTCTTGCAGGCCTCCAGAACGGATAGACTTGCAATTTCTCCCAGTCCCAGACTTTCCCAGTAACGAGAACGTCGCGCTCAAGCCGTTCCAAAATCTCCTCCTTGCTCTCTGCGTATGCGAGCATACAGCTCCCCGTCATGGATATGGGTTTCCCAGCCAAAGCAGGCTCATCCAGGAGAGCGCCTTTGGTTCCGTTTTGATTGTTCCAGATCAGCAAACTTCCAGGGCGGAAGGAATCAAAATTCGAAGTGGTGCGGATAGCCGTATGTACATACCTCCAAACACCCAGAACCCAGCAGGATCGTTCTTGCGGTCCTCGCCGTGTTTACTGGAATGGTCAGCGAGGAGGTATTTGGGAGACTGAAAGGTCTCACTTACGGGAGGAGTTCGCGTCTTCGATCCGCAGTATCGGGCAGGTCGTGGACGACGATCAGCCATTCCGACTTTTGGGGAGGTGCTGTCGCCATTGTTCTCGCACGGGTTGTACGGATATACCCAGTTGAAATGTACAGGCGATGATGATGAAGATGTGTGTATAGACCGCGTACGAGTCGCATAGAGTTCCTTATGGACTAGCTAGCTGTATGGTTGTGAGGGTTGTGCAGTATGAATGTCGGGTTCCTTGTTGCCCTTCAGCCTCTGTCTGATCGGACCCTGGATGTGTTGCCGATGCAAGGCTGAACAGGGGTTCACTACGCCATGCCTCGTAGCCCGCCGCAGTCAACGCCATCCGCTATTGCCATTGGTCAAGATCCTGTTTACACCCTCTTTTCAGCACTGACAGTCTCCACAAACGCGGCCTCGTAATTCATCGGCCGAAAAACCCGAAGTGATCACAGTCCTAGATGGCACTGACTTGGCTGCTGTGGCGGATCCGACTTGGTAGAGATCCAACCCAGAGTCCATGGTGATATAATTATTTTTCACTCGGGAACGTACTCAGGTCAGGAGGCTGTGTGGTATTCTGTGCGTAAATCGTTTGTGAAGGATTGAGTGGCATCGTGGAGGGGAAGGGCATTTGCGGTATCCATCGCCCCGGGCTCAGATGTGCTCATGCCAGATGATTGTGCCCGGTAGATGCCGTGCATTCAATGTTGGGAATAATCCGTCCACAGTCCATCGCTCGAGGCTATCGATAGGACTGTGTCAAGCTTGATATGGGAGGCGAAAACATTTGCCGCCGTTCCAGTATCCGAGTGTATCAAGGCTTGTCAATGGGTGGGCACGGATATGGTCTCGTAGATTTTCAAGACATTGGCCATCCGTCGTTGAGCCATTTGCAATTGTGGGTGTGTCGTCGATAAGTCTAGGCCTAGCCACTGGTTCAGGGCCCAAGCACCCAAGAAGAAGGTGGAGGAGGGAAACTCTAGTTACCCCGCTCCACGCCAATACGCCAATGCTGCCTGCGCCCTATGCCCCCTGCGGTCGTGTGAGCGAAGCATCCTAGGCACTCTCAACCTCCCAAGCCTCCCTGCGCCAATCTACGCCCTCAACTCTCTCGTTTCGACGTCAGCCAAAATATCTTCTGAGTACCTCAACTACTACGTCCACCTGCAATACGTTGCTCATTCCACATCCCATCACAATCGGCGCTGCATTTGATATTGCCGCCCCCAACTCAGGCCACGATTGTTTCACGTCCTCCCAAATCCTCCCAGACCTCGTCCCGCATGGTATGACACCCGGGGCTACTCCGCCAAACAGCGTTGACAGCTAGCCGTTCCCCGGGCTATAATGGGCTCTCGAGATCCTTCACCTGCAGAACTGCAACTGCACCCCCAGGCCGGCAGCACCACCAGGAACCAGGATAGCGAACGTCCCTCTACACAACCACAACCCCCTCAACAGGAACCTGGCCAAGAAGAGGATGAGCCTCAGACAGGACCAAAAGATGCCATCCAACCTCGGGTGTGTGTGACATGTCGCCGTCGCAAGGTCAAATGCGACAAGAGGCAGCCCTGTCAAAACTGTGTCAAAACTCGCACCGAATGTGTGTTTCCATTTAAAAAGTCGGCCGTGGAGCGCCAGACCGCTGCCGATGCTGAACTGTTGCATGAGTTGAGGAGACTGGAGCCATTGTTCCAATCCCTGGTATCCAAAATTAATGACGATGGTGCTGGCGCTGTGGAACGATCCCTGCAGGCCATCACCAGCGCGGCCATGGAGGCTGCTGCTCCTCCTCCTCCACCGCCTCCTGTCATTGTAGAGCAGCCCATCCCTCGCGCCATTGCGCATCCTATCGAGCCACCAGCAAACAGCCCAATGATTCTGGATTTGCCAAGTCTGCACGGCTCGCCTATGACCATTAACTCAATGTCCGGGTCGGAAACTACCCCGTGGAGCCCCTACGGCACGACTGTTGGTAAGCTGGTCAAGGATTCGGGGAGGCATCGCTATATCAGCGGTCTGTTTTGGGACTCTCTACATACAGAGGTGAGTGTACTGAGCCGGTCATGATTTGTGCTCACCCAAATTCGCAGGACGACGATAGCTTGTCCGACTCTGCATCCGATACATCTGATGATCCGGCAGCGGACGATTTGGTCGATGACCAGCTCTATCTTGGTCACGCCCCCACGGGGAGAAGTGACCTTCGGTCACGACATCCACCGCAACAACATCGCTTTCGGGCGTGGCAACTGTTCCAAGAAAACGTTCAACCTTTGGCCCCGATATTGCATCTTCCCACTGTTGGACCCTCGGTCGTGGAGGCGCTGAAATCTGCAGACGAGCGTCCCCTTCCACCTCGCATCGAACCGTTGATTTTTGTCATTTACTATGCCGCTGTCACCAGTCTGACCCCAGAGGCGACCCGGCAGGAATTCGACGCTGATCAGGCCGTCCTGTTAAAGAGGTACCGTGTTGGCCTCCAGAGTGCCCTTTCACGCGCCAAACTGCTGGATACCGACGAGATCCTCGTCTTGCAAGCTTTTGTTTTGTTCTTGATCATTCTGAGACCACACGATCCCAGCCTTTCCTGGAATCTCACCGGGTTGGCGGTGCGTTTGGCTCAATCGAGAGGCATGCATCGAGACGGGAGCTTCCTCAAGCTTTCAAAGTTTGATTCAGAAATGAGGCGAAGAGTGTGGTGGCACATCTGTCTACTGGATGCTGCCTCATCTGAAGATCACGCCTGTACGCCCACCACGTAAGTAACCCCATACAGACCCTCGGAGGGGTACTCCGGTCTAACAAACTTTGGCCATATAGCCTGGAAATCAGTAGTTTCGATGCCGCACTGCCTTGCCGGGTCAACGACAGCGACTTGTTCCCAGACATGACAGAGTACCCTCCTGAACGTGAAGGATTTGTGGATACTTGCTTCGCCAATGCCCGCTATCGATTTGCGGACATTTGGCGGACTGTAATTGACAAACGACGCCCCGCTGGTGCGGACGGTAAAAGCTTTGCATCAATGACCATGCCGGAGAAGGTGAGCTGGGTGGAGGACCAGCGGCAAAAGCTAGAGAACGAGTTTCTTCATTCCACCCCCAACGACCATCCTCTGCAATGGGTAAGCTCAAGTGCCCAGTCTGTAATGCGACCACGAGCTGACACCCTCCAGGTCACCGGGACTATCGTGAAGCTTCTGATCTGCAACCTTCGCCTTTTTGTTTATAACCCGCTGTCGCAAAACAACTTGCTGACCGAGGAGGAAAGAATCACGGCTTTTGTGGAGGCTGTTGCAGCCTTGGAACATTCCTACAGCCTCAGAACCGACCCGAGAGCTCGCAAATGGGCATGGTTGCTCAGTTGCTATCATGAGTGGTTTGCGTTGGCCGTGGCATTGGCCGAAATGTGCTCTTACCCTTTGAGAGACCACGTCGAGAGAGCTTGGCGAATTGTGGAACAAAGTGTGGTTCTCAGGTGGAACTCGTCGCGAGATCACAGGCGCGCTCACCAATGGCGCTCCATCATCAAATCCCTAGACAAGGCCAGGGCAGAGAGGAAAAAGGCTCGAAAACGCCGGCGCTCAACCTCCTCTTCTCAGGCAATTACACGAACCGCCAAAATTGCAAAGTACGCCGCGCATCCTTCAATTGCGCCACCATCGGCCCAGAATGCTTTACAGGTGGCGGCCCACGGGTCAGATAGTACAGCACAGACGTTGGTCCAGAGACCTGACTCAATCGGACTCGGGGATGTGGATATTCACGAGGGCGGCCCTTTTGGGACGTCCAACATGCTTCACTTTGATGCTGACCTTCCCGACGACGGCCAGACAATGGATCCATTCCTGGGGACAGATTTCGATCCAAGCTTTCTCGACATGAGATCATTTGAGAATCTTCTACATACTCCTCAAGCAGCGGGGTCCCATTACCGCGATCCTGGCTAGAACTATCTGTGGGGGAATGAATGTCAGGGGTATTGTGGACGTCTCGATGCAGGACCAAATGACCCAGATCGCTGTCTTGCTTGTCTTCGGCAGCCCTCAGTATCGACCACTCTTGGCACGGATACAATCAACCGCTCCGGGTAGGAAGGGATTGCCAGTTTACACAAACATTCCGCACAAGTCGCACGGTGGCTCGCATATAACAGTGTAACAGCAACGATTTGGTCACAACGCCTTATTCTGGTGGTTGGTGTCTCAGGAGAAGATCTCTCAGCTTGTCGCGAAATGAAGGATAACATCAGCGCTACAGATCCTCGCTTGCTGGACTCCTTTACGTTCGAACACACCTAGTCCCAGCGCGCGGCAGAGCAGGACAGCTGTATCCCTGGTTATAGCACCTTAATGGCAGCAAAGCGATTCATTGACGAACGAATCTTGCCAAGTATTGCTCCAGTTCGCGTTCGGTCAATTCGGAGATGCCGAGTGCCTTGTTGTCGTTGTTCCCATACAGGCAACCGAAATCCGGTGCAAAGGCCCCGCGGATTGCGTAGGCGTTGAACACCCGCAGGCTGAAAATGCCCTTCGCCGCTTCTTCTTGGACGTCTCGGACCAGTTGGGCGGAGTCGACTGAGATGACAGTCCATTCCTTGCTTGGCTCGAGTTTTTTTGCGATTTCCAATAGATGTTGCTGGGAAATGGCAACCTCGCTGATCCGAACAGGTCGATTGCTGAACTTTTCAGGTTGCAGCAGGATCTGGACAACTGCTTGGCTAATGGTCGACAAGGTTGAGGTGGAAAATTTGTGGGCGCCGCCGTCGTAGATGCGAATTGTGTTGGTTTTGAAGTCGAGGATGGAACCGACTCGAAGACCAAAATCGAGGATCACGTTGTTGTATACATACGTGTATATCAATCGACTCTTGGATGCTGCCTCCTCCAGATATGCTTCCAGGGCGACTTTGCCCTTGTATATTGGAAACGCGGATATCTTTTTGTTTTTCAGATCTGCCCCAAATTCCGAAGGGATGAAATGCTTGACGCCAGCAGCCACTGCAGCGTCAATCAGATTGTGCTGGATGCGTGCCGTGTCTCCCTTGCCAATGGCCGAGACCACTGCGTCTTGTGCACGGAGGGCGTCGGTAAGGCTGTCGACCGAATCATAGTCGACTTGTTTGTACTGGACACGGTCATTTCCGACATGGCCATTGCCATTGCTATGGACTGAGCGAGTGAGAACTGTCACATCGAAGCGGCCAGAGTCGGACAGCGCCTTCAAGATGGCTTGACCGACGAAGCCAGAGGCCTGTCAAAGTCAGCACCCACGGCATATTAGAACGAGGTCAGCCAGAATCACTCACCCCGCATAATGCCACAGTCTTGATTGTAGAGTTTGCCTTGTCAATAGCCATAACGTGCAATCGAATTATTGTACGCGATTTGGATGCGACGAAGTATTCCTATAGACACACCACTATAGCGGATGCACTTGGTGGAAACTTGAAATGCGTGTACCTTCATACTCACAGCACAATCTCGTGAACCTCTCATGCACATCGTATTAACGGTCCCTGGCCTGATCGTCTCGCCAGCCGGTGGTAGGTGGTGAACGGCCGCCTCGCCTGGATCGCCCCGAGAGACTCCGTATGGGGGTGGAACGGGGTTTGAGGGATGCTCGGGCAAATCCATCAGCAGCCCGAACCCCTTGAGCAGGGGGGCAGTTCCATGTCCATGTCTGGGCCCCATTCCGCCCGTCACGGTCCAGCAAAGGGCACGAGGCAAGATAATTCGACCAGAGCCTTGTGTGAGGCGTCGTTCTCAACGTGTGTTCCTCGTCAAGGTACGTATGTATTTCCTCTCCCTAAACCGTGAAAGAGATCGAATGGTGAATTGACGCTCTAGAATATCTCGTGTACGGATAGAGACCTGGTCTGAATCATTCTACAAGTTGTATTGGAGACTACACCATGGAAATTCGCATGACTGGCCTTATACTGTGTGTCGTTGCGGCCATATACACTATCGTGTGGCTATACCGAAAAGTCACATCGCCAGAATGGTCCATCCCGGGCCCCTGGCTCGCACGCTTCTCACGCATCTGGTACTTCTGGCACGTACGGGCAGGTTCATTCCACCACGAAAACATTGAATTGCACCGAAAGTACGGCCCCATCGTTCGCGTCGGGCCCAACCTGTACTCGATCGCCGCGCCGGACAAGGAGGTCTACGGAATTGGATCCAAGTTTCGCAAGTCGGACTGGTACGAGGGCTGGAAACATCCCAGCCCTGACAAATGGGCCCTGTTCGCCGACCAAGACATACGCAGGCACGCCGAGACCCGGAAGCGATTCCAGGGCCTATACAGCATGAGCGCGCTGCTGTCGTACGAGAAGTATGTCGACGACTGCACCGCCATCTTTGACCAGCGGCTGACCGAGTTCGAGAAGGCGGGCGAGCAGGTCGACATGGCGCACTGGTTCCAGTGCTACGCCTTCGATGTCATGGGCAACCTGACGTACTCGGAGCGGTTTGGGTTCTTGGACCGCGGCGACGACATCGCCGGCACGATCGCCGCGCTGGAGAAGTCGGGCGTCTATTCGACCCTGATCGGCATCTACGCCTGGCTACACCCGTTCGTGTACCGGGTCATGGAGTTCCTCCCCAACAACGGTGCTTCGGGGAGGACGTACCTCATGAACTTTGTGCAGCAGAAGATTGACGCGCGAGAGAAAGAGCGGACTGCGGAGGGGACGAAACCGACGACAACAACAACAACAACAACAGCAAAGCATATCCAGCAGAGCCAGCTCGCCCCGGAGCAACAGGAACAGACACCGCGAGACTTTCTCGACAAGCTCCGCGACGGACACCTGGAGAACCCGCAGCAGGTGACCAGATACCACATGTTCATGATGGGCCTCAGCAACATCATCGCCGGCTCCGACACGACTGCCGTGTCACTCTCGAGCGTGCTATTCCACTTACTCACCAACCCGGGCACGCTGGAAAAGTTACGGCGCGAAATCGCCGAGTACAGAAAATCACGGACATCCGTCCAGGAGGACGGTGATGCACCGACCCTCCCGTTCAAAGTCACCCAGGACCTCCCCTACCTGCAGGCCGTCATCAAGGAGGCCCTCCGCATGCATCCCGCCACGGGCCTGCCGCTGTGGAGGGTCGTTCCTGCCAGGGGCGCCACCGTGCTGGGCCACTACTTCCCCGCGGGCGCGATCGTCGGCGTCAATAGCTGGGTGGCACATCGGAACGAGGAGGTCTTTGGCAACGATGTCGGCGAGTTCAGGCCGGAGCGGTGGATTGAGGCGAAAGAGGGGGGTGATGTGGAGCGGTTGAAGCGCATGGACGCGTTTTACATGCCGGTACGTCCAGATCAATGAGCGATATCACTCTCTATCCCCAGATTCCTATCTCCACTATCCCCATCCCTCTCTTTCAACTATCCATCCTCCTTCCCCCCTTCTCCTTTTCCACTCACTGTGTCCTTATCTTCCTTTCTTCTACTTTTTCATTTTGAGCTTGGACATCATCCATAGCTAATCCTGGACATATGTGTACACAGTTCGGCCTCGGCTCCCGCACCTGTCTGGGCCGCCACATCTCCACGCTCGAGATGAGCAAGCTGGTCCCGCGCCTGGTCGAGCACTACGACTTTGAGCTGGCCATGGACCCTGCCGATTGGCGCACAGTCAATTACTGGTTCGTCCGGCCGGAGCGGTTTCCCGTCCGGGTAAAGCGAAGGGCTTCGGTGGGTGCGTCGTAGGTATGGTTTGTATTGTCGGCTACATTGGAGGGGAGTTTAAGTGAGGCGTCGGAGAAGAAGGAGGAGAGACGGAGAGGGAGGGAGAAGGAAGAAGATACTGTGATAACGATCTGGGCGACACGACTCAGTCTATCACATTGGAGAGGATATGCTGAGGTAGGAATATCGTATAACTATGTATTTTCATGAACAGCCCCAAAAAAGAAGAGCAATATCATCTGTTGTAAATTCATTTCCCAATTACGCCGCCTATGTATATGCATGTATGTATGTGATGTGATATGTCTGTCGACAACAATACCTTCCTATTATATAACATTGCACTTTTGCTTGGTTTGCTTGGGGTTTCAATGTGTTAGACCAAAGGGCACGGACATGTCTTTTAATCCTCACACTACGCGTCCTTGACAAGCTTCGACCGATCAATGCGAAACATGGCGATCAACGCCTCCTTGGCCTTGTCCATGTTCAGCCCCTTTTGCTTCTCGGCAATCTGGCCCGCGCTGTCTCTCAGCTTGGTCCGGACGTGCGACCACTCGAGGGTTTCGTTGGTGCCCTCGACGGTGACGGGGCGGAGCTTGCCGTCCTTCTTGCGCCACACGCCGTCGATCATGACGGCCTCGACGTCGCGGACGTCGCTGTGCCGGACCACCGCGGTGAGCGGGTCCGAGTCCGCCACGCAGCTCATCCCCGTGCTGTGCAGCGTGTCGAAGACGACCAGGTCCGCCAGCTTGCCCTCGGCGAGGGACCCGATCTTGTCGCCCAGCTGCACGGCGCGCGCGGCCCGGATCGTCGCCGCGTTGAACGCCTCCTCGGCGCTGCCGCGCAGCGTCAGTGCCATGGCCCCCTGCTCGACGTTGGGCAGGTTACCCTGCTGCCGCGCCATCTGCAGCGCCGAGCGGGCCAGTCCGAGGATCGACGACGTGTTGTTGGTGTGGCAGTCGACGCCGAAGCTGAAGTTGACGCCGGGATGGAACGCGATGGGCCAGCCGAACCCCATCTGGGACTCGGTCTCGGGCGTCGAGGACACGGGTACTTGCGATGATACGAGTAGATCGGTTTCTTGCGCCGTGAGTCCCGTGGCGTGGGAGAGGAGAATGTCCGACGGAGACTTGATCAGTCCGTAGGCGTTGAGGGTGTTGATTAGAGGGTGTTGACCTGACATGAGGTGAACGAGTTAGTCCTTGATTCGTCATGAGCATTTTAGGAAGTTGGTCTTCTTCGTCACTGGAGAAAAGGGCGCACCAGCGCGGGGATGGGATCACGCATAGATAGGTAGCTATACATACCAAAGGTAGCATTCTTGGCATAATGACTGGTGAAGTTTTTGACGCCCGCGTTTCTCAACGCTTCAAAGATGCCCGTCACGGCCTGCTGCGGCAGGAAATAATAGTCAAATGCGAACCCGAGCGTGACGCGGCCGTGGCCAAAGGGCTGTTTCGCCGCGAGTTCGAAGAGATGGTCCATGGTGGATTTGGGCATGATGTCCATGGACGGTTCGCACGTGTCTTTGTCCCACTTGGTGAAATACGGTGCGTGGCCGTAGGCAAAGATGGAGCGGATGCCAGATGCACATGTTGCTGCTAGAGCTTTGGTGACTGGTTCGCTCAATTAGAAAGGAGTAGCAGTAAGGCTGTCTGAGAGGGACTCACCGTGCTCCCTGGTTTGGCACCCGTGCGCGTGGTCGAGCACAAACGTTGTCCCCGCATCGATCGACTCCAGCGCACCGCCGAGCTGGCCCCAAAAGATGTCTTGCGGGCTGTACACGTAGCTCTGCCAGAATCCTGTCGAACTGGTCAGTACCCCGCGACTTAAACCAGATCCCAGAAAAAAAAAATAACAGAAACTGTCGCTCGGCACCTACCGCTGGGAATATAGTCAAACACCGACTGTTCGGCGTGTCGACCCTTCAACTGCGTCTGCCACAGGTGATGATGCGTGTCGATGAAGCCAGGACTAATAATCTTGCCGCGACAGTCGGTAATCGCCGCGCCCGAGGGAGCAGACAATTTCTGTCCGATCTTGACGATCTTGTTGGCCTGGATGAGAATATCGGTGTTGCGGAGCACCTCGACGTTGTCCTTTCTGCCGTGGTAGAGAACGGTCCCTCCCTGAAGGAGAGTTGTAGCGGCAGCCATCTGTTTCTGGTGGTCCGCGCCGGCGAAAAACAAAATTCGTGTCGAGGGTCCCGGGGATATATTTGCAAAAAAGGCAGAGGTATAATTACGAGTAGAGCTCTGCAAGTGGTTAAGACTTTTGCTTTTGGTGAAGCCGCGAACGTCCAATCATATCCCAAGACACTGTAAACAAAAAGTACGCTGCCAGCGGGATCCGCCTCGCCGCATCTTGGTAAAAAGGGGGGAAATGGCGCGGGGTGCGTCGGCCGGTCGTGCCGAAAGCAGAAACAACAAAATGATTGGTCAGATGAGAGCCTCGCACGTGATGCTGCCGAAAACGGCAAGTACTGAGCCCCACATCTATTGTCTTCTTATGTAGGCTCTACGCACCTACAGTTTAACCCATCATGCACCATGATAAAGAGGGACCGATGTAGAATTAGTGCGTCAAGGGTACTAGGAGAAGACCATCTTGTTGTGTATCGAGCCTAACCCATCGATAGTCACACTGACTACATCGCCGTCCTTCAAGCACCCGTTCGAATGCCACCCAACGCCCTCCGGAGTCCCCGTCATTATAACGGTCCCACGGCGCAGAGTCCGCCCGTTCGAGCAGAACGCAATGAGCTGCTTGCACGTCCAGATCATCTCCGACGTCGACGCCTCCTGCCTGACGCTCCCGTTCACCTTGGTCACCAGGTGCAAATTCTGCGGGTCGGGAATCAGCTTCGGCGACACTAAATAGGGTCCGATGGGCCCGAATTTGTCAAACGACTTCGCATAGCCCATCTGCCAGCCCGAAACGTCTGGATTGTTGTAATACCGTGCCGAGACGTCATTGCCGACGACATATCCCAGGACGTAATCCAGGGCCTGGTCTTCGGGGATGTTGATCCCGTCTTTGCCGATGACGAGGATCAGTTCGCCCTCGTAGTCTAGCAAGCTCTGTGCATCTGGAGGGATGGGGATGTCCTCGAGAGGTCCTGCAAGTCGGTCTGGAGGTGTGGCGAACACCACGGGCTTCTTGGGCGGGGTGAACTACAGAGTCATGTCAAAAGGCGACCCCGAAGTTTTGTATTCGTAGGACGAAATAGAGACGCACCTTCGTCTCACGAGAGTGAGAGTGATAGTTCACACCGGCACAGAGTACTAGCGGGGTGGTGCCGAGAGGATTAAGCAGCTTCAAAGGAGGTTCAGTATGGCACTTGCTTCTAACACATCAGAGGGTGATGGGGCCATACTTGGTGCACTACCGCCTTCTGAGACGATATCTGGAACCCGGATTCTAGATCACCGGAAACCAGTTGAACTTCTGAACCTTCAATGGCCTTCACGTCGACCTCTTGATCAAGGTTACCATACTGTGTCGCGCCATTTTGATCGATAAATCGAATGAGTCTATCAAACGACATGATGGGACCGGAGTTCACAAAGTGGCTCTTGGTGCGGTCTGGGTCACAAGTTCTAGGTAGTAAACGTCTACGGGTGTTGGGGATGTTGAAGTATAGTTGCACGGCCTGTTTTGGTGTTGTGTTATGCAGTGCCCCAGATCCGCGTCCGGGACGCCCCCAAGCATTTCGGCCTCGTTTGCCGCCACTGGCCGAAATGGGATAGTTGAGCTTGACTGCGGTCAGCGGGGCCGGTTACCGTTATACCGATGATATTACAGCTCAGGCGGGGGTGGGAGTGGCCACCGAGGGATTTCAAGCCTAGTAGCCCGTAACTGCACCTTCACTTCCTCTCAAAGTCGACAACGAGGGTTTCTTCACCATCCAGATCAAATACTCTCACTACGGCATCTCTTCTCTGTGACCAGCCATGACGGACAAGATCTTGATAGATCGTCTCTCGCACTGCCGCTACGGCCACCCCGATCTCCAAAAGGCCAAAAAGTTCTTCATCGACTTTGGCCTGATTGTGGAAAAGGAGACGGACGAGAAGATCTATTTCCGCGGATTCGGCAAGGATGCTGTCGTCTACGTCGCCGAGCAGACTCACGACGGCAAGCGACGGTTTCTCGGGGGTGGCTGGATCGTGCAATCGCTGGCGGATTTGGAAAAAGCAGCAAAGGTTCCTGGCGCGACGCCGGTGCATGACTACGAGGGTCCAGGGGGCGGCAAGTGCGTGATCATGCCGGATATCATGGGCGAGGAGATCACGCTCATTTGGGGCCAGACGGACCGGACGATCGATGAGCGAGAGGCTCCCAAGCCGGTCAAATGGAATACATGGGAGGATAAGCGTCGGTATGGAGAGTTCCAACGACCGGAGCGGGCGAGTCCTTCCAAAGTGCACAAATTGGGCCACTATGGCTTCGAGGTCGATGTCTCTCGACTCCCCGAGGTGGTGGACTGGTATTGCAAGACCTTCAACCTCAAAGAGACAGATTCCCTTCGGCACGAGCAGAGCGGCAAGATCATCATGACCTTCATCCACATTGACAAGGGGAAGGAATATGTCGACCACCATGTAAGTGATCGTTCTCAAGCCTCGTCATCACGTTCGCTAAGTCAGTGTCGGTACAGAACATCTTCATCGCCGGCGGCCCGATCGGGGAGGGCATCAAAGCACACCACAGCAGCTTCGAGGTCGACGACATGGACAGCCAGCTGGTTGGCCACCACCACCTCCAGAAGCAAGGCTGGATCAACGTATTCGGACTCGGCCGTCATGTACTGGGGAGCCAGATTTTCGACTACTGGTAAGTCTTCTGACTACCTGACCATCTCTATATCGACTTGTTATACCTTGCCACGATACTCACAGTCGCGCCTTAGGTTTGACTCCTCTGGATTCCTGGTCGAGCACTACGTTGATGGCGACCTGGTCAACGAGGACAAGCCGCATGAATTCGAGCCTGCGACGGCGGCAACGGTCGCGAGCTGGGGTCCGGACATCCCGCGAGCATTCTTCTCCAAGAAACTCGAGGACGTTCCGGGTCTCACGGATATTCCTGTCGTCCCTGCCGAAGCTTAGGAAAAAGTCAATAGTTGAAGGGTTACGTTGCGTAGGATTGGTTTAGTCGAATGCGAGTATACGTCTATAATGCAACTGAATGTATTTTTTTTTATGCCATACCAGTTTGACATGCCGGGTGAAGACGAGACCGTAACTACGTAGTATCCTCGACTTTCTGGCCTTACTATGCACATGCGAACTTCACGTCGATGTGGAGTGTGGCAAGCGGTACATCGGTCTGTAGATAGGAAGGCTATACCCGCAAGTCGGCGGCTCGGCCGATCGGATCTATATCTTTATGAACATGGTATCAGGCCGTCATTTTCCGCACAAAGCATGGAACGGCCATCTGAATCACATGTTACCGCTCCAAATATGATTGCACCCTCATATCTTTCGATCTCCTATGAGCACCTCCCTTAGAAGCGTTCGTTCTCGACTACAATGGGGTCTACCGGAACAAGCACGGCTCAGACGATGATTGGGAAAATCGCCGTCATTTCAGGATCGTCCAGAGGAATCGGCGCAGCAATTGCTTTGGAACTGTCCAGTCGGGGCGCCTCGATCGTCCTCAACTACCCTTACCCCGATCTCAAGGCAGAATGCGACGGTGTGGGCGCGCAACTCAAGACCGACTGGATCTCCGCCTGTGCTGACCTGTCCACCGTGGATGGACCCGCGGACCTGATCCGTCAGGCCGTCGAGCGGTTCGGCCACATCGACATTCTCATCAACAATGCCGGCTGGGTCCCCCTGGCGCCGCTGTGGGAGTCCGATGTCGAGACGTGGGACAAGGCCATGTCGCTGAACGCACGCGGTGCGTTCCTGCTCACGAAAGCCGCACTGCCTCACCTCACGCCGTATACGCCGTCGAATCGTCTCGACGCAGCCGGCGCGACGAACGGATCACGTATCATCATCGTCGGCTCCGCGGCCTCACGCACTCCCCGCGAGAACCAGGGCATCTACGCCGCCACGAAAGGCGCGCTTGACTCGATGCTGCGCGTGTGGGCGAAAGAGTTGCCGCCAAAGTACGGCTGTACGGTCAACGCGGTCGGGCCTGGGCCGGTGTTGACCGACGCGTTCAGACAGAATCTGGGCGATCACTTTGACGAGGTGCTGGAAGCCGCCTCGAGGGAGACGCCGGTCGAAGGAGCTTTTGCGGCGGTGGAAGATGTCGCTTGGACTGTAGCGTTTCTGGCCGAGGAGAGATCCAGGTTCATCAATGGGGCATTTATGCTGCTCTCGGGGGGAAGATATATGCAATGAACCAAAATGCCGTGGCTAGAAGGGTATCTATCTCGTGAATAGTAGTGATATAGATCTTCAGGTTTCAGAATCTCGTATTGTCGCCATCTTTCAGGTTGACCTCAAAGTGAAAGAGCATTTCTGTGTTCCAATACAGCACCTCCAAGACTTGTATTGATCTCTGTACATAATATCTATCCAAATTCCAAATCCCCTTTCCCCCCTTCCTTTCCGCACCGAATCTATCATCACGCCCCTGCGATCGATCTAACATCTCTTTTTGAAAGACAGCTCCCATTCCGGATCCGGTGCAAGCTGTACGATGAACGTTAGCTCCAAGGACCACAAAACGAGTGGAATGGATGTCGCCATCAACACTTACAATTCCTTCGTAGATGACGTTCTCAGGCCTGGCCTGGCTGGTCGGGTACTTGACATCGTACCTCGTCAAGAATTCAATCATGATGAGCTTCATTACAATATCGGCCATAAATCTCCCCGGACAGGCGTGTCGGCCGTAGCCCCAGGCCAGATCGTACTTGCCCACCGTGACCAACTGGTGTTTCTTTGCGTTGTCTTCACTCTCCAATCGCTTTCTGTAGAATCGGAACCCATCGAACTGTTCTGGAGACTCAAAGTATTGGCCGTCCATGTTGATAGCTCCGGTGGGAATGACAAGCGTGGCACCCCTGGGGATGCGCATCCCGTTTGAAAGTGTGAGAGGTTGCATTACTCGTCTTTGATAAGATGCTTTCAGTTATTAGATCAAGTCTCTTCCTAAAATATGGACTTCTGGATGCGGCAACTTACTCAAGTCAGGCGAATTGAGACGTTGAGTCTCTTTCAAAAAGCTGTCGAGCTTCAAGAGTCGATCCAGGGCCTGCTTCGTCCAAACACCACCAGACGACTGCAGAGTTTGCTCAATTTCTTCACGGAGCTCGGGGATGTATTCGGGATATCCGGACGCGTCGATCAAACACTGCATCACAGTTGCAGCCTGAGCCTGGATTGCCGCCACACACAGATTCATCTGGGCAATAGTGTGGTACTCGGTATCGTTGATGGAGTCGGAGTATTGGCCCGATGTGAGGCAGTCCATCAGCGACGGCGGATCGTTCAGAGGTTTGTTACCATTTGCCTTCTTCTTTCGCAGCGATTCCGACACGATCATTCTACCCTCTTCGAACTGTTGCCATGCTTGTCTTCGACCGTCGACAAATCGCCACACCAGCGGACGAAGTGATTTTGGCCATTTCTTCAAGTTGGTGATCCAGTGCTCCACAGTTTTGATATAGACGGCAGCGACATCGAGCCAGCGATCGTCCCGAGCAGCAGCCTCACCGAGAAACATTCTCGCACAAATCCTCGAGACTAGTCTATTTAGGGGCACATAGGGCTTGGTAGTAGTCCAAGCTGTGGCTCAGGTCAGCGTACTCCATCTCTCATACATGCGTTGGAGTTACTCACATTCACATTCTCCTATGGGAAAATATTCACAAATCCAGCGATGTATAGTTGGTATATATTGTGCTAGAGAGTGTGAGTGGCTGTTTCGTCAAGGAGGAAGGACAACGTACGCAGCAGTGGATTGAAGTCTCTGATGTAGACCTGGATCTGTGCCTCTGTAAGGTTTCCTAGTTTGGTATATTCCTTAAGGGTAAACTAGATACATGTCAATGATCCGTATGTCCAAAGATGGTGTAGAGATTCACCTGTTCCTCGAGGAAAGCACCGAACGTCAAAGTCCTTTGACCTTTCAGATCATCCAGATACTTCAGCGGAAGAACAATATTGGTCCCTGAGACGTATCGTTAGCACACACGCTCTGGCCTCTGAGCATATTACTTACCTTCGGTAGTGTTGATCCCAAACACTTGGTCCTTGAACTGAATAGCCATCTGTCAGCATTTCTTCTCTCTTATATCTTGGTCGTCCCATACGACTCGATACCCGTGGATCAACAGCTCTCTCGTATCATTGACATATCGCTCAATCCGATCCTTTTCATTCGGCAGTTCTTCCTGCAAAGCGATCGGCAGGTCAGGCAGCTTGTGGGCTCCAGTGCCTTTGGCGAGCAGGGCATTGAACAAAGCTATGACAACCAGAACTGAGATTGAAGCCAGCACCGCCAATTGGCCTGTCCGAATGTTGCCTGTAAGCGGTGACTCCAGCAGCGACCACATCTTGCTTGGACGATCACGATCGAGAGAATTATCCACCCGCTTCGTCTAACACACAACCAGCGCCTTCAGCGGACACAATGTAAAGAAAAGCCTGAGACCTCACGCATCTTGTCTATCTGATCAGAAAACCCTTCATGGCCGAATAAGGCAATGCGATTCGATGTCTGGTAGGGACAACTAGGCTGGAGCTGGGCCCGGAGCAGGGTCCGACAAGATACTCAGCATCACGAATGCAAAGGTGAGTCTCGGCAAAGATGGGAATTCGCCCTTCGGGGCCGACACCAATCATATCACTTCTTGGGATACGGGACCCCAGAGGATATCTGACTTTCCAGCTCCACCACGGACGAACTGGTATCGGCACCGATGTCCCAGATACACCGATACACGCAGCCCTGGCTAGAATCTGGGCCATCTACGTGCTCTCGAGGCATGCTCGACATGGACCTCACAGGGGATTGGAAGGTGCCACGCGCCCCCAGCGACACGGACAGGTGCCTCCTCTACAGGTCTGAAGCTAAGCCTGCTTGGCCACCTGGCAGTCGACTCTAACTAGGAGTATCCTAAGTGTGTTAAACCACTATCGTTGCGAGCTGGACAATATCGAACAATACGTCCTCTCATCAATAAAGCTGCTTTCCATGGAGAGGTCTCCCTCGCTGTTGACGCTCTGCTCACGACTTCAACAGCCGAGCTTTCTGCCTATCTGTCACACATATTACGACCACAGTTCATAATCCCTCGGACTCAAGGTATCAGCACCGTTACTGCAAGAATGATGCGGAGTACCCCAGTTTCCCAGGAGGACTGTGGAGTTGCCCCAGTTCACCCTGTGCTCCCACGATGGCCCATGCTCTTCGGGCCTCTGCTCAAGTTTCCCGGTAGTCCTCACTCTCTTAAACCCCTCATGGTTGGCAACACAGTGATGCGTGGTTATTCAAACTCTCCACCTAGAGAGAGCCCCGAGCCTGCAACTAGATTTTCCTCCAGGTAAGCTATTTGTCAAAAATGTCAACAAAGCCAGACTTCGACATTGCCATCGTGGGCGGGGGCATCGCTGGCCTTTGCCTCGCCTTGTCTATCATTGGCCAGTCTTCCATACCTGTCACCCTTTACGAAGCAGCACCAGCATTTGGAGAGATCGGTGCCGGCGTCGCCTTTGGGCCCAATGCAGTGCGGGCCATGTCCCTGATATCGAAGGAGTTTGGCTCGAGATTTCAAGCCCGGGCAACGTCCAACTTGTCGCCAGAGAAGAAGACTACATGGTTCGATTTCCGCATCGGCATGGATGGCAAGACTGACGAGGCTCGGCAACGAGGTGTTCGAGCCGGCCAATTCCTCTGCACGGTCGACGAGCCAGAGCCGCACAGTGGCTTGATCAACCGCTCTCACTTCCTCGACATCCTCGTTGACCTGCTCCCGCCCAATTTCGGGACCTTTGGCAAGATCCTGACGTCGTTGGAGGACAATGGCCCTGCTGGTGTGCTCTTGCGCTTTGAAGACGGCACAGAAGCCACGCACAGTGCAGTCATTGGTTGCGACGGAATCAAGAGTCGCACGAGACGCATCCTTGCCGGGGAGGATAGTCCCAAGGTCCTGCCGACTTTTACCGGGAAATACTGCTATCGCGGCATGATACCTATGCACCTTGCAGTGGAGAAGCTAGGTGAAGAGCTCGCGCAGAATTGTCAAGCTTACATGGGATATCATGGGCACATTCTAACCTTCCCCGTCGCCAAAGGGAAGATGATGAACGTTGTCGCGTTCCACTCGCAGGACGAATGGCGACACGAGAGAATGGTGATACCGGCCACAAAGGAACAGATCTTTGCCGACTTCAAAGATTGGGGCACCCAAGTCAAGGATATAATCAACCTGATGGGGCCCTCGGACATCTGGGCGCTCTTTGATCATCCCAGTCTCGACACCTACACGCGCGGAAGACTATGCTTAATGGGCGATGCAGCTCACGCATCGACGCCCTTTCAGGGCGCAGGCGCCGGGATGGCGGTGGAGGACGCATATGTGCTGGGGAGTCTTTTGACGAGTATCCGGAGCGGTGATCAGCTGGAGTCGGCATTTCAAGCTTTTGATGCGCTACGACGAGAGAGGACACAGAGGCTGGTGACCTCGAGCAGAGAGTCTGGTCAATTGTGGCACTTTGAGCTCGAGGGAGACGATGTAGAAAAGATCCGAGACCTACTTGCGAGTCGGATGCGTTGGATTTGGGAATATGACATCGAGGCCGATGTAAGAGCCGCTGTGGCTACGCTGCAGCAGCAGCAAGAGTGAAGCCTCTGGGCGTAAGGGCTATTGTCTTTCTAAAATCTATGTACTAGTATGGGGCTCCCATGCTATGAAAAGCCTGAGAGAATGCTTCCCTTACAGGAGTTGATGCCCTTACTGATCTGGGGCGATAGCATCGAGCTGCTCACAAGGACAATAATGGAAAGAAATTCGGGCCAGGAATCTACCTATAGTATAATACGACTTGACGAGTACTCCAAGCACAAGTACGCATAACTCCAATTTACTGTAAGAGGCTAAAACAAAGCATTGCGATCTCGCCACTCCACATTACTATCCATCACGGGGGCACATTGTCTTCAAATCCCCATGGCTCAGGCTACACACAGTACGACTCCTCGCATGACAGCGGATTCCCATGTGCGACTCTAGACCGTCTGGTACGACCATGAGTTACTCCTCTAGAAGCGGTGGCCAACGACGCAGCTTGTCCGAGATAATGCGAGCTCGTCGCTTTCCCTCCGCGTAACCGAGAAGAAGCCCGCATGCCACCTTCTTGCCACTTTATATTTCAGACGAAGGTGCGTGATGAGGGTTGCGCTTCGGGAGATTCTCCGACCCGATCATCGCAGTGAGAGATACTGAGACGCAACGTGGTAGGTAGGTGAGTGTGTCTGGGCCTGGATACCTTGACCAAGGGAGGAATATACTTCTCGGCTGTCGCGTGTGGGCTGATAAGGTCTGGTGTCTCTGTACTTTGTATATGCTTGTATAACAGCCCGGCTTTCTTGTTTCACACTGCATCTGTCTTTGCTTCGAGGAGCTTTACACAAGACAGCCTTCCACTTCAGACACTACGCAAGCAAAATGATCGCTCAGAAACCACCCCTCAAGGTGCTCGTGGTCGGTGCCGGCTTCGCTGGGCTGGCTACCGGCATCGAGTGCGCCCAGCGCGGAATGGACGTCACCATCCTGGAGAAGTACACCGACTCGAACAGTCAAGGCGGTACGGTAGCAGCACCATTCATTCCAGCGGCGAAGATAGTAAAGAAAACATATCTCTGACTTAATTCTCCCCTTCCACAGATATCCTCGACTTCTTCCCCAACGGCGGCCGGGTCATCAAGCGCTGGGCCAACGGCGCCGTGGGCGCAAAGATCCACGAGACGGGGTGCAACAAGATCCGCGCCATGGAGCTGTACAAGTACGACGGGAAATACATCGTCGACGTGCCCTGGGCGCGGACCGAGGAGGAGTTCGACGTCACCTACGCCGGCCACAGGGGGAAACTCCACAGCATCATCGCCGAGTACGCGCGGAGCCAGGTCAAGGACGTCCGAGTCGGCGTCGGCGTGGTCGAGTACCTGGAGGAAACGGACCGAGCCGGCGTGCGCCTGAGCACCGGTGAAACGCTCTGGGGCGACTGTGTCATCGCGGCGGACGGCCCACGGTCCATCGCGCGCAAACAGGTGCTGGGCATCACAGACGTCAAGGACGGGACCTCGTGGGCCGTGTTTCGGAGCTTCTTCAAGACGGACGAGGCGGCGCGGAAGCACCCCGACCTCCAGAACTTCTTCTACGAGGACAAGGACACGGTGCGGTTCTGGATGTGGGAGCATCTCAGCCTGATGGCGTTTCAGTGGAACGGAGGCAAAGACGTCGCATGGGTTCTCATTCATCCGGTACAATACATTTCCTCTCCATCTTGACATGACATGACTGACTACTGACAACCCCGGACCAGGAACAAGACAACTCGGACGAATCGTGGTCCAACATCGCAAAGAAGGAAGAGGTGATTGAGTGGATGAAGCCCTTCACCGGCAAAGACGCCCGGGCCCTCCTCGACATCACCCCGCTGCACAAGACGATCGATTTCAAACTGGTGTACCGCCCCGCGATCCCCAAGTGGACCAGCGAAGGGGGCCGGACGATTCTCATCGGCGACGCCGCCCACGCCAACCTGCCCACCGCCGGCCAGGGAGCGTCGCAGGCCCTAGAAGACGCCGTCACGGTGGCACACTGCCTGGCCGAAGCGGACGGCGACGTCCGGCTCGGGCTGGAAGCCGCGCAGAGAATCCGGTACCATCGATCCAACGCCGTGCACAAGAGCGGCCAGATGAACCGCGACGCGTTCCGGAACATCCCCTGGGACGAGATCGAAGCGAACCCCGAAGAATGGGCCAAAAAGAGGTTCCCCAAGCTGAAGCCGTGGGATCCCCAGGTGTGGGCCGAGGAGAATTTCCCCAAGGTCGCCGAGGAGATCAGGGCTGGCAAGACGGGGCCGTTGGACGAAGTTGCAGTGCCTTTGCCGGAGGGTGGAATCTGGTCGATTGCGACTTGAAATCTCACAAGCTTCATACAAGAGGCTCGGGGGGGGGGTTTGTTAGGCGGACTTCGTGTTGATATGCTGAATGCTGGGAAATATAAACACGTTGGGAAAGCTGTCCCTCTCTCTATTAAGATAGTATATAGTTTATCGGCGTAGATAGTACAATGCACTCTCCATCAACAGCTCGGTATACCACATATGCAGTCGCTGCACTTTCTCCATCGGCTTTTCCGTCGTCGTCGCCGCCTTGCCCGCACCCTGATACATGGCCGTTTTGATACTCAGATCGGCGACACCCGCATCGAAATCCGGGTCGATGGCGACTTCGAGAAGACTGTCGTGGTCGCGCAGAGACTCTCCCGCGGTGCCCTGCGACTTGCCGGCGCGGAACAAGATGGACGTCGACTCTTTGGCAATGACC